TGCAGAGCTTTAACTCTGGTTAACCAGCAGAAAATACTGCTGCTTAGAGCTGTTCCATACAGATGTGGGGGATTTGTCTTTAAAAGTGGTGCTGTATGTTAACACGGATAGAAGGGTCAGTTGGAACTGTGTCTTCATGTAAAATTACCATAAACCCAAATAAAGGTATAACTTCAGCTGTTTTTTAAGTATGTGCTTCAAATATCTGCCTGAATTTCCTATTAATCTGTATGCTTTGTGGTCATGCTCTGTTTTGATTTTAACATACTGCTGTCCTTGTTGGATTGAAGATCCCCACGCATGGGAAGTAACTTTAATCACAGAATGCATAGAATCATAGAATCAACTAGGTTGATTGACCTTTGAGATCATTAAGTCCAACTGTTCCCCTAGGACTGCACTTACCAGAATTATTCACGTAATTCAAGTTACACTTGTGCCTGCAGCTTTTGAGCCACATAGAGGTTGCAGTGCAGTGGCTTGTTCTGAGTGCTGTCCAGTGCATAAATGGACAAAACTCTCATTTCGTCCTTGTCCCTTTTTTCTTGGTAACTAAAGATAGGATGTTAGGTATAAATACAACTCCAGATGGAAGCATTGGCTCAATGGCCCAAATCTTTTTTTTCCCCCACAAATAAGGGTTCCAAAATTGGAACTTTTTTTGGGTCCCCAACTGCAAATACTTGATTCCCAGGAGCAGGCACAGAGCTCATTCTTGGGGAGAAGCGAGTGAGTGACAGCCGGAGTCGGATCTACCTCGGTGTAATGGGAAGCAACATGTGCCCGTGACAGAATTCATTGGTGTATTGTGTCGGGGTGTATCAGCAGAGAAGGCAGCTTGTAATGAGGGGATGTGCTCTCTCACTAGGATCTTAATTATGAGTGAATTATTGCTAGATCCATGGCCAGGGTAGAAAGAGACTCTAATTCCAGGCACGTGGGCTGTGACTCCACTCTTGTATGTCCCCAGACATTGTCCAGAAAGAAGTAAATGGAGCCATCAGTCCAGAGCATTCACTTTTTAATGATGTATCTATGCCTAAAATAAAGCAGACTGCTTATTTTAAAGCGTCCAAGCATTCTTTTCACTCTCGTCTTGAGAGTCAAGCCATTTATGGGGAAAACTGTTCATACTGGGTTTTGAACTGGCTGTCATTTGCCAGAAACAACTGCTAAGTCTTCTGAATTTTGGTGGAAAGATGCATTTGTCTGCCAAGCAGCAGTTTATCAGTGCCTGTACTGCTGCTGCAGTGATTAGAGAGTAAAGAAGTTCCACCTGCCCTTCGAAGGTGTTTATTTTAAATGGTGTTAGCAAACTGATTTGTGTAAGGGTAGTTTTAAAGCAGCTTTTAGAGACTTGATGAACTCGGTGTAAGAAGGCTTGAGTCAAAGCAATGGGGCAGGACTCCTGTATTTGAGTGCTGAGTTTTGTTGTAGATCGGACCTCAAAAGACATGTCTTTTGGAGCTGTGGTATGTGGGAGATTTTGGGTGGGGGAAGAATGAAGAATGTGCAAGATAAAGAGTGATGGAAACTTTCCTTTTTAAAATGCAGTTTGTTCCGAGCCCTGCATGGTTAAAATTTGGGTCAGCTGCAGCCCAAGGAATCCAGCTAATTCAGGCATGGGCCTGGAAATCTGCGATCAAAGGAATTGGTAGGGAGGTGTGTGGTGGAGCTGGAAAAGGCCACGAGTGAAAGGATCACGTGAAAGGGTTGGTATGGCAACACATGTAAAAAGAAATGGAAAAATCCGTAGAAGATCGGTTACAGAACAGATTGCTTGAATAATGCTTATTTTGAAGTTAGTCTACTGTTGGTTTGTGGCCACAGGACAAATGTCCTGAGTACCCAGTCGGTTGTAGTTTGCTTGTGGTGGTTGTTTTTATTCCATACTGTTGGCACGTTCACTCTGATGGTGTAGGTGGCTGTAATACTGATTCCAGGGTTATAGTCCTTGTTTAGATACAGCTAAGATAATGGTGATTGTGATCAAGGATAGTAGGTAGGGGAGGAAGGCATAGAGACTGTTTGCTTTGGAAGCATGATACTGTCTGCCTTACTGCCTGTCCAGCCCAAGAGTTTCATTTTGTCTCATTAATATGAATGTGTAAAACTGTTGTGGTTTTGGTGGGGGGTGTTTGTGGTGGTATTTCTTTGTTAAATTATTTAGTGGTAGATGAGCTGCTTTCTTGGGTAGTAGCAAACTGTTGATGGTGGAAGTAACTCCCCTTACATTGAGAGAGGCTGTGTTGTCATGCACAGAAAATGTATAGAAATATTTCTGTATGATTAGAAGTCTCCTTGTGTTTAAACTTAATCTGTCCTATATGTGTGTGTATATGTATACGTGAGTAAGATTTTTGACTGTACAAGCATCTGGAAAAAAGCACATGGAGTCAGAAGCTAGTTGGCATGTCTGTCAGAATACATGTCAGCATGTGGAAAAGGAGGAGAACGAAGGGAAGGATGTGTACAAATATCATCTATTGCCTATTGTGAGGTTTTGTGTGTATGGTATCTGAGGCGGACTTGGCTCTAGCCTCCTCATGCTAGAAGGTGTGGGGTGTATTCCAGAGATTCATTCAACTATGAGAAGTCTACTAAGCAAAAACTGTGACCCTGCCTATTCTTGGAAGATACTTCATGATTGTCATTGAGAACAGCAAGTCAGTTGCCTGTAGGCTTGTTTCCTACACAGAGTAACTCCTGTTATAACTGCTGTGCAGAGAAAATGGGGTGATAAAATGGGGATGTTGGTAGCAATGTGCCTAGTGCTGTTTTTTATAGCTGAACCTATAAAGGGCTATAAAGAGGACCTGTAAAGGTCCTCTTTGTTTGTTGATGTGTTTAGCAGTGGAGGGCTGAGTGTGAGTTGTGCAATATATCTGTGGCATTAGCTTCCCTTGTTTCTTTCCTTATTGTTTTTTAATGTACATTTAGAGTATCATAACTGTCAGTTCAGATAAGTCCTTCAGCTGGTTTTGGGTGAGAGTATGGGTTTAGTATCACTGGTTAGCAAGAATCTGTGTTAAAAGTGGATGTGTGTGTTGTTTGAGTGTACGCTGACCTATATTACATTACCCTGTGTTGCCTTCCTTGGGAGAGAGGGAACTTTTTGCATTCAAGCTTTCCTGTTGTTCTAATATTTGTAACTACAAAAGCACTTATTTCTTAGTAGTGGCACCCTTAGAATGATCTCATTTCAGCTGGGACAGTACTGTGCTGTTGGCTGGTTTCTTTGCCTGGCTCTGAATTGCAGGGACTGCCTGTAAATGCTTTGAGTGAGATCCATGTGGAAATTTCCAGTGTGTAGATGTCAGGGAGGTAGTAGTGGGGAACCACTTCTTGTTGACAGAGCACACACTTCCTTACCTGACAGCGAGCTTTCAGGTTTAGAAATGCATTATACAATGTTAAAACCAACCCGAGTGATTAAACACTGGAGAAATTCAGGAGTAACACTTCTTCCAGGTCTGCAGCATATGGATAGGCCTTGTAAAGACCACCACAGCATAATGACCTGGGTAGGCTTGATTTCTGTTTTCATGTCTAACTTGCTAAGCCCAGATTCACTGCAAATGTTCAAGGCTGTGTACTTACTCAGACATTTAGCTATAGCAGTCCACACTTCTCCTGCATGACATGTTCATGAGATAGGCTTTGTGCTTCCCGAGAAGGTAACTTGATGCAGTTGTTTGTGATCTGCAGCAGGATGTGATGCCATGTGTGCTGTTGATTCAGGGTTGCTTTTACCACCTCGGTGTATTAATGTTTATAGTTGCAGTGTGTATGTGTGTGATGATGGATTATCTTCTAAAAATGAAATGGTACCTGTGTATCTTCCTAGGAAATGACTTAAATATGTGGCCTTAGACTAGTGCTTGTTACCTATCACAGCCACAATGTTATTTTTTGAATCCAAATCATTACAGAGAATGCTGCATGGGTAAGGTAGAACCTTAGCTTTTGGTGCCAACCACAAGCTTCTCTCTCCTGTGTTAGCAAAGGTGGGAGGACATGCACCTGAGCCCTGGAACTGTAACCCTGACTGTCCTTAAAAGATGTGGGAGATGAGTGAAATGAGCAGGTGAAAATCTCCATTGCAAGATGGTTTTGGCACCTCAGCCACTCCTGATTTTCTTCTACATGAACCACAGTGATGTAGGAAAGCTGGTGGCCTGAGCTTGCTTCCAAGGAATCAATGGAACTTGCTCTTTAGACATACTGTCTTGCATCCTACAGTGCCTGATTTGGATTTCAAGACAGTGAAATTGCACAGATTATTAGGAATCCGGGCTGGAGCTTTTTGAACAGGAATGAGGACTGAGTCAAACACTTAGCGCTGTAGTGCAGTACGCTACAAATGCTGTGGTAGGTGTTCTTAGCATACTTAAATTTCCAGTTAGAAGTAGCAGAGTGAGCTACAAGTTGGGGACTGAGCAGGCTGCCCCTGGAGGACAGACAAAGCTTGTTCATTGGTGTGGGAGGGAAGAGATTTGGCTATGTAAAGTAAGCAGGCATAGCTCCAGGGCAGGAATGGACTGTGACAGCTGTCAGTGCACTTCATCCCTGCTATCAGGCCCTGAGAATGTGTTCCAGGGCCTGATAATAATGAAAGGTCAAATGCTAATGCTTTTAATCCTTCTTAAACATCTGGAAGGAATCAAGACCATGTTTGCTGCTGACATTTACCTGTCTTTGGTCAATAGTAACTTGAACAATTGTGTGGAGTCCTGGGACGTTATCTTAACTAGTGAAGAGTGATGAGGAGAGTCCTCTCTTTGCCTGGTAAGGTCTGCTAACTAGCTGTCATTCAAGCTGGGCTGCAAGCAAGTTCCCATGGTGGCTGGTTGCCAAAGTGGAAAGAGATTGTCTGGGGTATGCCACTGGCTCTCAGGTGACGTGAAACTGGTTGCAAACTTGTTCCTTGACCTCTTGCTTTTCTTTTTTTTTCCCTGCTCCTTCCCTTTTCCATCTCTCAGCACAGAAAGACATCGGTCATGGCGGGTGATGCCATCTTGATCATGAAGGGCTTGACGAAGCTTAGTAAAGCAGTCCTAGAAACCCAAGCAGGACAGCTTCGGCAGGTGCTCTTTGGGGGTGATGCAGTTACCATTGCAAAGACTCTACAGGCTGCTGCTGAAGAACAGTTCAGTTCTGCCTTGGGGAAAATGCAGGTAAGCAAAGCTCTTTCAGCACAGTCTAGTCTGATGTTTTGCTTTTTGGTTTTCTTGTGAGGGTGGCTAGGACCTTGCACCATGAACAAGAACCTAGCTCTGAAGGTCTGGATTGATAATACAGGTGTTGCAACACTCTGAGAGTTCTCGAGGATTTCAGTGGTGTGCAGTAGGTGCTTGGACAGGAATGGGAGGGGAATGTCACTGCAGAGTGTTTGTTTCCATTACAGAGTGTTTAAGACATGCTGAAAATGAAAACCGCTCTGTTCCCCTCACCTTGTTGAAGATCAAACTCTTGCTAAGATGGGCCAGCAGCTTTGTTATTTAAAGTCTCCTTTAAAATTCATCATTGATTATCTCGCCTTTGACTAAGTGAATGAGCTCTTCTACAGTCAGTTGGATTTATCTCAGTGCTGCTTCCCTTCTTGACAGAACTGGTGCATGTGATACTCCTTCTGAATGGCTCAGGTCAGGTCTTCATCACTTACAGCCCAGGCTGGATTTGCAGAGCTGATTTTCAAATAAAGAACATAAAGTCAGACTTTTTTTAAGCAACAGCTTCTGTCACCAGACATGGGGTTGGTTTTAGAAAAGCTTCCTGTACTTAAGTATGGCAGTAGAGAGGACTACTTGTAATAATTAGTATTGTGGCCACAGTCCCCATCTGTAAACAGATTTCTCCTCTCCCCCCCACAGTGACATTGAGGTTTGGAATAGCGTGAGACCTGCTGAATAACAGGAAAGACCATGTTCTGTTTTTCTCTGTAAGGAAAAGAAATGTAACTAGTGTTTAGGAAAGAGCTTAAAATATGCTGCCTCCTTGCCTGACCACAACAGGATTTAAGATCCTGTTGATTGGCTGTAATAGTCATCAGTTCTTCCATCAGCATCTGCCATGCTGAGATAGGTAACTAGAACATATCAAGAAACAAGTAAATAGGAGAGAATGCTCTGCTGTGTGTGGACATTTGTTCTTATTTATTGCTACACTGAAAAGTGGTGGGAAATACCTGCACTTAGTGGGGCACCTCCTGCAGGTCAGGTCAGAACTGAAAAGACTGTCAGGAGAAGCTTGGCTTGGTTGTTGCCGTGGCTGATGCTGAAATCCTTGCTTCAAGCACAGAATTCTATTTATTTATTTTGGGATGACAACAAACCAAAACACAGTTTAGTGGTTGAATGATGAAATGTGTTTTGCAGTTGGCAATGTCCTGGCCATGGAAAGCTGAGCTTACTTTGCCAGTAAGGAGGCATCTGGTGTTGCTTTGGGTAGGTTTCGGCTGCAAAGTGCTGACATTCTATGACAGGAGGGAGCATGGTAGAAGAACTTAATATTACGAGGTTTAGCTTTTTATTGTCCGTCCTAAATATATGTTAAGCAATATTGCAGCTCCTATCACCTGTTGTTTCTGAGCAGTGTATTGCTCCTAGTGAACTCCACAATTAGTGACCCTTCCTGGCAGCGTGTGTAGAACAAGGTGTTGTCACTTACAGGTATTTGAGAAGCTATTAATGACTTTGTCCCATCAGTGGGGTTGAAAGACTACCAGTGATCCCAGGTGTCCTCAGCATCTTCCTTTTCCCTGTCTCTTACTGTGAACGCCTGCAGTACCAGAACCTCCACAACTTGCTATGGAGACATGACAGCCTAACTGCATGCCCACCTCTGGGGACCACGGATGGGTAAGGAGCAGGTTTTAAGTTCTTAAAGTATTTCTATTATTGTTTGCAGGAATTAGGCATACAGCAGGAGAACTTAACTGATCTCGATGAGAATTTTGGGAAGGACTATGACTTTTCAGCCCGAGACTCATCAGATGCTCCAATGGACTTCTCCACTGCCCCCAGCAAGCCCCATGAACACAGCAGTGAAGGCCCTGCTTACTCTTACACTACGAATGGACCTTTAAAAAGTGTTGGTGAGACTGGAGATGCTGGCATGGGTCAGAAGCCTTTCCCTCCCAAGATGGATGCAAGATTATTTGGAGGCTTTAGGGACCCTGGAAATCCTTTTGCTGCTGCTTTTGGACAAAATAGGGCTTTTCACCAAGACCATTCCTCTGTTGGTGGATTAACAGCTGAAGATATTGATAAAGCCAGACAGGCCAAAGCAGGTTCAGAGCAGAAACCCTACAAACAGATGGTATGTCTTTTTAAATTAAGGGTTGTCAGTACTGCAGTTTCTGTACTGGATTGTACTTACTCACCTCCTCCTGTGTTTCTCTCATTTCTTCCTCTTCCATTGTTCCTTTTTGTGAATGCAAAAGAGGGAAGTGTCAGTGCTCATTAACTCTGATCTCTGTGATATTTATTCTGTCATTAGCTTTTCTGGCTCTCTTGTCACACGTGCCCCCTATATATCAGATATTCTGATGTGAGAGGATGTTTAAAAAGCATGCATAAAGTTAGACTGCACTTTCATATTAAGAAGAGCTCTCCTTTCATTCACTGGACAATGTAATTACAACAGTAATGAAGGGTCTGTATTTCATCCCTGGTTTTGGAGTAAAATGTTGAGCAGGTGGGTTCAGCTGTAATCTACAAAGGTTTGAAGAATGACGTGAAGAGTCTGTCTTCTCCTTGGAAGGCCCTGTTCCCTTTAGCTAGTTGTTTTGCTATGGCTGTGAAGAATGAATTTAGCATAAGCTTCTCTCAGTGAAAACTGTGGCTTCCTGGTGTGTCTTACAGTCCTTCTAGAGGTGAGGGGAATGTTGGCCTGAGCATTAGTAGACTGGGGAGCAGCACAGCTCACAGTTCTTGCTTTGGTGCTTCATGCCCTCGTGTGAGACAGCACAGAGAGCCCACAGCAGAATTCACAGTGGAGGTACTTGCCATCTGCTCTGACCTTCTGTCCCCAAACCCAGTATCAGATGCTACTGCAGGTTCACTTGCTCAGGATATTGCTTTGATGAGACTTTATGCTGCTTCTGCTCCAGCTGTTGGGTGGAGGGAAGGTATCTACAGAACTGTGAACCTGATAGCCTTCCATGAGCTTTAATTCCATGTGTGGAGGGGAGTTTGGGTTGGCACTGTGCTGCTTCTCCAAGTTCAAAATAGAAGAGCTGCAGAGGTGAAAGTAAAAATGGGGTTTCTAAACATGCTTGTCGTGTCATATCTTCCCTATTCTCTTGTCCACTCCTCTGCTTAGTGTATGTTTTGGTTCACGGTGTGTCCATTCTGCAGCGTGTTCACTTGAAAATCTCTCAACATAAGGCTCAGTGTTCGAGAAGAGCTTTCTGTAGCACAGAGTTGTTCAAGTGCTTTCAGAGTTGCACTCTGAATTTGCAGGTCTTTGACCGTGTGCCCAGTTCATTTGTGTATTTCTCTTCTGTTTTCCTTTGCCCCCCTTTCTGCTGCAGCTCAGCGAGCGGGCTCGGGAGAGGAAGGTTCCTGTCACCAGGATCGGACGGCTCGCCAACTTTGGAGGTCAGTTTGCACACCCACACTTGCAGTCACTGTGCTTGCATGAACTGATTAATGTCAAGCTTTTTAAGCAGTGGCTGCTTCTGTTTTCTAGTTAAGCTTGCTAATGGGAAAGTGCTTTCCCACAAACAGCTGGTTAGCTCAGAGCTTGATTTGGGCCTTTTCATTACAATTAAAGAGCTCAGCCTTTAGTCAGAATGAAGTTACACTTTGAATCCTGCTTTCTGCCACTCTTGTATCCTAGCTGTTACTGTGATAGTATGGCAAAGAAAAGAGCTGCCTACCTAAACAGACCTTTCAGCTTCATTCAGCAAGCTACCTGTAAACAAGAACTACAGAGTTGGCATGGGGTTTCATTTGGCTGAAGACAGCAGGCTGATGCTTTCCTGGAACTTAGTTTCCATAGTTCTGGAGGGAGGGTGGAAAAAAAGCCACTCTTAAGATTTGGGAGTGCACAGTAGAGCTGCACATCTTCATGGTAACATATACTGGGCTGTGCTGCTTTAACTGCATCTCACTCTCTCCCTCTCACTAATTCTCCAGTCTGTACAAATGTGCTGGTCCTTCACGTGACTTCACTTCACTGAGGAAACTCTCCTTCCAGTCCTTATAGTGTGCTGTTACTGTCAAGAATAGACAGCTGGAGCAGCTGTTACTTTAAATAATTTCTTTCCCAACCTTATCCTTGCTAGTTCTCTGAACAGTGGTTAAATATAAGAATATATCCTTTTGGTATTGATTTTTGAGGGTGGGGAGATGATAATAGTCAAGGTTTGATTTACTCAGCCATTGCTTATAAACCGTTTTCTCCCAGGATGTAAAGTCAAGAGCTTGAAAGATGAAGCTAGCTGAAACCCATGTGAAGAATTCATTTGCAGAATGGGACTTAGATTGTTAAATATAAGTATCTTTAGTAATAATAACAGATGGTGCTTATCTAATATCTTATATCCAAAACCATCAAAGGACTTAACATGCTCCTGGGAAAAAAAGGGAACTATTGCAGGTGGAAAAGATGATCACAGCTAATCTTTCTTGGCACGTCATTAGATGAGTAGTCTCTTGTTGTAGGTGGCTTTTTGGTTGGTTGTTTTGGGGTGGGGTTTTTTTTGTGATCATAGTGTTTTGGGATGATAGTAGGCTATCTAGGTTGTGACTGTTGTCCATTCTCCTAAGTAGCAAGTTAGGCCCTCATGGCTCTTGGGATTCTCTTCCACAAAATCTGATAGAGAAGCACATGTGCAAAGTAGGCATTCTTGTGTTATGGATCCCAGAAGAAAGAAAACCTGTCTGACAAATGTCATTCAGATCAACTATTATACTAAAAAAGAAAAAACCTAACCCCTGTTATTACTCTGACAAGAACCACACAGAGGAAGATGTGCACTAGGAATAGTTGAGGGCAGGGGCTGATTCTGTGCAGTGCAGGAATAAACAAAGTGAGTTTTGTCATTACAAACCATTCTAATGCTGGTCAGATCTCTCTAACCCTGTAGGTCACTGCAGGTGCTCTGCTTCTCACCATGCTTAGTATTCCTTAAAGGGAAGCAGGATTCAGGATCTGCTTTTCAGAGTAACAAGGCATCGCTTTAAAACTCACTCGACTTCTTTGTTTTTAAGCTCGCATAGCATATCGGTCTCTGTTCTAATTGAGCCTTGATTTTTCATGGCAAGTGTCACAACAGTGCTAGCTGTCATCTTCCAAATTTATCTGTGGCTGCTTGCTGACAGCTGATGGGTGTGAAGTGGCAGATGACCAAATCTTCTGTAAGCTCTGAGCTCCAGTGCTGTTGCTGTACGTTCCAGCTCTTGGCACGCAGGGCTGTTACATGAGGAAAGGCTGACTCATGCATCAAGGGGAAATATAACTGCCTACCTGTCTTCTGCTAACCTCGGGTTACAAAGCAAAACAAAAAATCTCCACCAAACCAAAACCACAAAGGGAAAGTAAGAAAGAAGGAGGTTGTTTTTAAGCAGCATCCCCAGTCATATCTGTGCCTCATCTTATTTTTTGGTCTTGCCCTTCTCTTCCAGTTGTCTGTTTTGTATGTTTGAACTTGCTGGCAAGACAGAGCTCTTGCTTTCAGACTGCTTTTGAGGGGACATTGTGTTGCAGAAATGGTGTCCAAATTCTCTAGGCTCTGCAATCCTGTTAGCATTTATTGCTTATCTTTCTGAATTCTTCCTTGCAGTGGCAAGGGGAGGTAGCACTGTCAGTACACACTGGCTAACAAAGAAAGAATATGGCTTACAGGTATACTTTTTCCAGTTTAAGAAATCCCTTGGTAATATTTTGGTAGGCTGGGCAATGTTGAAGGCTTCTGAGGGTGTGATGAGTCTGAGCAGTATGAGCAGCTCCACATGGGAAGGACTACCTGTGAGGAACACTTCTTAGCGGTCAGATCTTGATCCACATTGGTATGAGCTTTAAACAGCCTCTAGATCTGCATGGAAGGAGGGACTCCATTTATAGTGAGGAGCAGGTCCTGCTTGCTATTTGCTCCAAGTTTAGAGTATGTTTTCCAACCTGCAAGAAGCTTTGAGGGAGCCAGTGCAGTTGTGAAACCCTGTCAGCTCATTCTAGTGTGTGTTTTCCTGACTGGCTCTCATTTGGCAAGCAATGTTCTCTGCAGACTGCATCTTTAAACCAAGAAACATTATCTGATGGCAGGAGCTGTGGTGTACCATTAGCTTTTATCCGTTTTTGATTCTTCTGAAGTTGTTGGTGAGCTTTGACTTACGGTCGACTGTTTTCCCCTTAGATTGTGAGCAGAGGAAGGTAGTACCTGTCTCACCTAGCTACTCACTGGCCTCACTGTCAGTCCCTAAATCTATCAGGGAGTGTAGCTTAGAGGAAGTAAGCTTTTTGTGCACAATCTGTTTCTTGTGAGCTGTGGGGTGCCATCTTCATCTGAAGACCCCATTAAGGTGGATTTGTCCCCTACCACCTCCACACCATTCAAATCTGCATGTGGTGGGATAAACCCCACTCTTTTCTATGCTAGAAGGACATCACCTTAGACTTGGAGAAGATGGAGGTGTTGAGTAGATCAAAACCCGAGTTTGTGTAACTATTATTGGGGTTCAGGTAGCTGAATTCCCATGCTTATTGGCATGATCCCATTCACACTTGAATCATTCCTCTTGTCTTTGCCTGTTCTTTTGCACTCTCCCCCCTAATGTCAGAGGGAATGCTGATCTCTCAGCTGTGGTATCAGGACGCTGTGGTAGGTGGTGGACAAATGCGTAACAGGAGGTAGAAATAGTTGGAGTGCAGAGTTTTCCTGGCTTCTTACCTCTTCTGGGAATGAAAGAACATTTTGCTGGGAAGACTGGAGATCATTTTCTCCAATGCTTGCATGTAATTCTCAGCTAATGTTTCTCTATAATCAGCACAAGATCCTTTCCTGAACTACTTTGTCCTTTGTATGTATTTTTTGTATGCTTCTTGCAGCATCTGGCGTGACTGCTGGAGGTTGTATTTATAGGACTAAATATCATCCTTGATTTTTGTTCTGTTTTACTTTTTTTTCTTCTCAGCGTTTGAATTGGTAAAACAGATTTTTCTGCAGTGTTTTTGTTCCATGCTTGTTTTGTAGCATGATGGGTCATTGGTTCCACCCAAACAGTTTTTGATCCTGTCTTTATTTCCTTTTCCATCATCTGGCTTTTCTAAGAGTTTCTGTCTCCCTTAATCATATTCCTGGTTTGTAAGTTTATTATTTTAATGATATAATATCCTTCTGCAATAAAGATTCAGGAAGCTTGTAGTAGAGTCTAGATCCAATGTGAGTGTAGCAATTGTGCAAAAATAATGATAGCCTTGAGGCAAGTTATTAAAGTATATACAGGGCAGCTACAGGATTCAGCTTGTCACCTGAGTGTGGCTTTTTCTGGTAAGCATTTCATGCTCAGGAAGCTCCTGGACATTGATACACAACTGTCTGCAGCATGTTGTGTGTGGTGCTTGCAGTGTTTGATGTGACTGGAACAAGGGCACAGGCTGCTCCAGGGGAGAGTCTCACTCACCCCTTGTGCTTGGCCGGCTGAGCACAGTGATAGCGGCCCATTCAGTCTCCTGTTTGTTTTGTTGTGTCAGTTGCTGAGCAAGAAGATTCCTCCTTAGCAAAACTGATTCCTGACCCTCTCTAGATGGACTTGGTTTGAAGTGTAATGGATGTTGGAGATGCCTGGAAAATGTTTGAGGGGGCACTCTGCTAGTAGAAAACCAAGTGGCATTCTCCAAGCCTGAAATAATCTGCCTGCATAGAGTGCAGGAGTGTGACTTTCTAGAGGTGCTCAGGGATGTTATTTTCCAAGGTGCTGAACGGTGGCTCTTCAGTGATGCTGAAAATTATCCCAACATGATAAATCTTGGAGGAAACAGTCATCTTGCAGAGAAGGAAAATGGAAGATGTCAGAAATGACTTGGGCAAGGTCAGTAGGTTAGTGGGCCAGATGAGGAGAGTGCTTTTCTACAGCCCTACAAGTGCTTTGGAGAGATGATTCCTGGTAACAGATGAATGGTATGTGGTGGGTGGACCTTGGTTGGCAGCTAAGCACCATGCAGCTCCTAACTTGTTTTGTTAGGAAGAGCAATAGCAAGAAAACTTAGGAGTTGAGCTGCTCAGAAAGCATTCACCTGTGGTTTAATAGGTGAAGCAAAGTAGCAAGAGAAATTCATTTGCTACTCCCTATGTGCAGTCAGATGCTCAGCTGCTTCCTGGGATACAGGGCCTCAACATCTGTAGCAGTTACTTGGGAAGGCAAACACATGACCCCAAATGCTCCCTCTCCCTTCGTCCTCCTTTCTCCAGGCTTTTACTGCTGAGCATGATGTTAGAATCACAGAACCATAGAATGGTTTGGGTTGGAAGGGACTTTAAAGCTGATCCAGTTCCAACCCCCTGCCATGGGCAGGGACACCTTCCACCAGAGCAGGTTGCTCCAAGCCCCTGTGTCCAACCTGGCCTTGAACACTGCCAGGGATGGGGCAGCCACAGCTTCTCTGGGCACCCTGTGCCAGCGCCTCAGCACCCTCACAGGGAAGAACTTCTTCCCTATATCTGTCTTCAAACTCAATCAATCTCTCGTGTGAGGGGTGTGCATGTTCCTTGGATCAATTTGGGCCAGCTGTCCTGGCCGTGTTCCCTCCCAGCCTATTCATTGCAGAGGCAGAGTGGGAAAAAGAAAAAGCCTTGACATAATGCAAACACTGTCCAGCAATAGCTACAACATGGGTGTGTTATCAACACTTGTAGTTACAACTTTGTAACTACAAAATCCAACACAGAGCATGGTACAGGCTGCTGTGAAGAAAAATGAACCCCTATCTTGGCCAGACCCAGCACACAGCATTATTTGTGTTCAGATAATGCATGCCTAAACCACAGCCTTTCAGATGGGTGGGTGCGTTAAAGAGGCCTGGAAAACAAATCTGGTGGCATTTCAGGAAATGGGTGTTGTGGCTCTGAACCCTCCTGTCTAGAACTTACTTTCTGAACCCTAGGGTGTTCATCTCGTTTGTAAGATGAAGTTTTCCAAACTAGTTTTTGGTGTATGAGCTGTCAGTGCTCCCAGTGCCACAGTGAATGAGATTCAAGCTGATAAAGGTAATGCGTTCCTGAAGTTCAGGGTCAGACTGATCCCTAGTGCTGATGTTACTGGGTGCAGTTATAGCCATGAGGAATTTAGGCTGTTATTTAATTCCCTAATTTCATAGTTCTTCTGATGATAACTTGATAAGAACAAAGGAATAAAGTGAGCAACTGAGACTTTGATGAGAAATACTACTTTGAATTGTTACCTTTTTCTCAGGGATAGGAGGCTGCATATGCAGCTGACTTCCTTTTTTGTAGGCTTAACCTCTAAGCAGCAGCAAACACCCAAGATGCACTCGACCATGCACAATCCCAAGACTATTACCTACCCTCCTGCTACCATATTGAGAGCAGGGCTGTGTACACCCTGAGATGCTTCCATGTATTAGGAATGCTGCATTGCATTTTCATGTAATGCTCTGAGCTAAATATCCTGCTGCACATGGTGATTATGGTTTGAAGATGCTTGAAGTCTGTTTAAACTTCAGATATTTAAACCTTAGCAACTGCTTAACCATAGACTTGTTTATGCCTCACTTTAGTTGAAACAGTTGTCGATTGATGGGAGTTAATTTTCTAGGAAGTTGGACAGAGTGGAGCAATAAGCAAATCATTTAGCACCTCTTTGAAGAGAAACACTTCTAGTGTAGTATATAGTATAGTTTAGTTTAGATGCTCAACTGTGTATGTCCATGAGGGGGGAGGTGCGACACACATTTCTTTGAAGTCTGATCTTGCCTACCCTGGTATAAACCACAGGTTGCTTTGGAGCATGCTAGAACTTCTCCGGGTTTATTCTGGAAGACAGAGTAGAATCTGGCTCCTAGTCTTCTGTTTAGCTTTGAAGTGGTTTGTGTCTGGATAATGAAGAGAGATTAGAAACCTCAGTTACTTTTATTTTAGGTGCAGACAGTAAATCTCAGTAGCGATCTCAAAGCCTTTGGAAGGAGATGTATTTAATTTGGAACCAATTACTGCCAGCCCAGTTTGGTCTAGCTGTGATAATGACCAAGCTGATTTTTGATGGCGAGCATTGCTTTGGAGGTGATGAAAGTGGGATCAAGTCCAACAGAAGTGCTCCATGAGTGGTAATCAGTCTAGAAAGCCACATTTGTTGATGAGATACCTGGGTCTGACTCAGTGCTTTCTGCTCCAAGTTACTGTCTTGCACATGGGGTCTGGTTGGACATGACTGTGTATCAGCATTTTAATAGACTTCATGCTGTGTTTGAAAAGCCTTGTTGCTTCTTTCCTGTGGAGTCTAGGGATATTTATCTCCCTTTGTTCAGCTAATAAAATCTCTGGATTTCTGGTGCAAAAGACTTGCTTAGTGGTCATGCATGTCTTGGCACTACTGAAGAGTCTTGCACAAGTAGTCACAGCAGACTTCTTTAGGCTTAAATTTAGCATTTCAGTGCTGCACCTCCATAGGAAAACTTGCAGAAAATATGTAAGCCTAACATTTTATTTCATTTTTTTTTTATTTCAGGGCATTTCATAATATTGTTGTGTGTGTTTTGTGTTTGTTTGTTATGTTCAAATCGTGACATCTTGTAAAAGTTATATTTTTCTCTGAATGTAGATCTCTGTTTTGCTCTATGCTCTTCAACATTCATGTGTAATGGAGAATGAAAGGTTGTTTAACGAAGGCAACCTTTGGTTTTTTATCTGAAACATCTCTGTAAGGGCATGGGACTGGCCCTGGAAGCAGTCCTCAGGCAGGCTTTGTAATTCCGCTGATGTCTCCTGTACTTCACCTTATGCTGGATTCTTTGGTCTAGTGCATGTAGCCTGCAAGGCTGCAGATGGAGCTGTTTCTGATGCAGATACACTGGGCAAGTTTGAAATCTTACTGGTAGAGATGGGGTTGTAATTACCTCGTGGGAGAGAGGGAAAATTCAATGCAAGGTAAGGTCCAACTGGTCTGTGCCCAGGCTTCTCACCTGGGGCTACAACTGTGTGCATGCCCTTCCTGCTGCACACATGCACAAAATACCGTGTATTGGTCAGCTCTGCTTCCTTCCTGGTGCTGACTGTGTCCCTTGTTTGTTCCATCTGGGAAGCTGTTCAGTAGTGGCTTAAGGAGGGTTTGGGGTGCTTGGAAAATGTGCACCCCCAATACTGCTGGCAGGGCGGGAGTAAGGCATGGCAGGATGTGACCACTGCTGAGGAGATGTGCAGGAGCACCAACTGTTCTGGTTGCCCATGTTATTTATTATCCAGAAGAATAAATATTTTGAAGCTGGGAAGGCAATGAGACCTTTGGCAGTACAGATTACTGCATGATTACATCTGCGTCTCATTTAATCTGTGGCTTTGGCCAGGTTAGTGGAGGCAGATAATGCTGCTTTTGTAGTCTTTTTGTAGCTTTATCTGTGGCTGTGAGACAACGCCCTGCAGGCGTGATAGTGCACATGGGATGCTGGCATTTGGTCTCATGGTCTTGCTGTTGCTGTGCAGGGTTACTCCCCAGCACAGCCCCTTGGAATTGCAGGTTACAATACTGCTTGTGTAAGGTGAGCCTCAGGAAAAGCATGTTTCTGCTCATCAATGAGCACATGGGAGTCAAAGACAGCTGATGAGCACAAATAAACATGAATGTTTTTAGTAGGGTCACAGAACCTTAAGCTCCACTGGCAGTGGCTTCATCCAAGCACAGTTTTGCTTTCCCTGAGTGAGGGAGATTCTGCTTCCTGAGAATTAGACTTTGAGAACCATGGTGGTAAGAGCATTGTATTTTTCTTCCCATGTTCTAAACTACACAATTTGAGTCTACAGCAGGACCTCAGCCAGCACACAAGCTCTGAGTAAGCTCATTGACATGCTTTATGAAAGCTGAATATCCCAGACTGGCCTGGCCTGTGATACCTGGCTGGGCTGCTGGGCTGAAAAAGTACAGGAGAAAACAGTTCAGTAGCAAAATGAAGATGACTCCATTGCAAAAGCCAGGGTGTCCTAAGGAAGCTGTTGTGTTGCTGTGCATTTGGTGGTGTGCCTTTAAGGTTAATTACAAAATACGCCTCTGTATGTGGCTCAGAAGGGTTTTTCATTCTGACCTGGGTCTTTTTCTTCTTATTTTACAGGATTAGCTGTTGGTCTTGGCATTGGGGCATTGGCAGAAGTAGCAAAGAAGAGCCTTAGACCCGAGGAACGCAATGGTAAGCCCTTTCCACAGCTTCATTCCTTTTTTGCCCCTCACTTTTCTTTCTTTCCTTTTTGGACCCTGACAGAGTTTACCTACATTTGCAATATTTTATTCTTTAGAAAGCCAGGCTGGCGAGGCATTCAGAATAACAGGGGGATGTTCTTTTATTTCTAACATAACCCTTCTCTACCTTCAGACTCTTCTCCCACCGAAGTACGCCATCGCTTCACTATACAGGCAGAGGTCAGAGATGTATGTAAGAATGAGTTTTTGCCAGCACAATTTGTACAGCTTGCTTTAGAACACTCATCCCCTGAGTTTGAATACTGTCCCTCTGCTCATTCTTGGATTGTGCTGGCTTAACAGTTACGTTTTAAATTGTTCAGTGAAACCATATAGTTCTGTCAATACAGAAACTGTAGTAGATGAGCCTCTCTGTCTGAAAACTATGTTAGTGGTAGCAGTCTGTTGGAAATTTAAGCATGTTCTGCTTAGGAGGAACTTGGAGGATAGCTGTTCTCTTTTGAGAGAGACAAAACACTTTATGAGCATGTTAAATGGCAGTTACCTACTTCCAGTATCTGTATTTTGCCACCTTCTAAAGGATTCTCATAACAGATTGGGAGACTGTGTTGTGCAAATTGACCTGATCCTGGGTTTTTTCTCAGCTTGTTTAAAGTTGGAGGTACTGTGTTGTACCTGGCTTTCTTCTAAGCTTGTGTGCTGATAAAACGTACTGCTACCACATGGTGGTGTGTGAATGGCTTAGGGCCATTTCTTTGCTAGAAAACATGAGATTACTCTAAAGGTTATGGCTCCATTCACTTCTTTCTTATCCAGGAGAAGCTTTGGTGGGATTCTACAGAACATAAAGTAGCAGTTATTGCAGTCTGTTTCTCTGTTCTTGCTTCCCGTCTTGCTCTTTAGCTGGTGTCTCTGGTTTGGCTGGGATGTTTGTGTGTTAATTCCAGTGACTGGAGGGAACTGATGAAAGGGTTAAACATTTGCAGCTAGAAGTAAAACTGATGTGAAATCGTTCCTGGTTCAGAGCACTGCTTTGAGAGAATGACAGCTGCTGGGTCCTTGTAGTTTTACTCTGTGTGTATGAAGACTGAGCTAGTGTGAACCTCCATTCCAGCAGGTACTGGAATAGCTGAAACCTGAAGAAATTTGGAGGTGTGAGAACCCTAAAAAAGCCAAGCAATAAACCTCAGACCAAAACCCAGCACATGAAACACATGCACTGTGGTATGGGGACAGGGGTAAGGCAGGGGGTGTGTGCCACCCAGGCCACTGCTTGTTAGTAAGTGCATTTTTGTACTCCCTGTGCAACTGGGCAATGCAGAGCAGCCCAGCAGAGAAAAAAGATCCTTGGCAAAAAGTTGTTGTTTCTCTCCGTGACCTGAGGTGTTTGAGGCTGGGTGGGTTTCTCTTTGCTTTGATTTAAAAGCATCTATTTAGACAAACATGGCCCATCCTGTAGAAAATCTTTGAAGGCTTTTGCCTTCAGCACTTGTGATGTTTGACAGGTGGTTCCTACCTGTTGGAAGCTGGTGACTTGTTTTGCTTTTAACAGAGAAGGAATTGCACAACTGTTGGTATTCCTTTGCTTGCCAGATTATTTTCTAATTGGGCACACCCTAGAGTGAAAACATGAGCTTGCAGAGCTATGGAATTTGAGGGAATAACATGAGCTTTGTTTCTCTTCCTTACAGCGTGAGAGAGGATTATTTCTTTATTTAGAGCGCAGCAGACACTTTTTCCTTGCAATAACACAATTGCACCTATAGACTTCTTTTCCTCACGCTAGGGAATCCTGCTCCACAGTCTGAGTCATGCTTTGGGAAGAGTGATTTTCTTGAACAAACCTTGATTAAAGAATGAGAACTGCTGACTTGGATGCTAGGCAAGGGAGTTAGAAAAGGACCTGGCTTTTACTTGTAGCTCTCTTGCTTTCATTCTTGCTTGCCCTCTTCTGTCAAGTGTACGTAGGTAAGAGCTTAGATGAGAGCTTGGAGCAGAGGTTACACTCTAAAGGAGAAGGGTAGAGGGACTGGGAATGAGTAAGAGCAGCAAATATTGAGATGAGGCAGAAGTAGAAGACTTTCAGCCCTCATAGTCTCTTGGAGCTTTTCAGGCCAAGGAGGGGCTCCAGGTGACTCTGCTACAGCCTCTAGCTGTGCCCTTGGATGTGTTTTCCACAGGATTTTACAGTGTTGGGTAAGTGTCCATGGATGAGAACTCTCTCCATGGGCTCTGTTCCTGCAGAAATCCATGGCAGAGGGTAAGTACATAGTTCCGAGTCCAACATCCCATCTTCACCTTAAGTACTAGCCTTAGCTGTTCTTGGGGCAAATCTATTGACACAGGTATCTCTACAGTCCTTTCAAAATACCTCTGCACCCTTTCATGATTTCAGCTTGAGGCATTTGTCTCCAAGTTTCCTGGCTGCCAGCACCAAAAGCTCAGGTTAAGACCTGTCTCTGTTGAGAATGACACACTGTCCTGTTCTCTGGAAGGTGGTAGGGAATGTCTTTTTCTCTTCCCACTGCTGCAATATTAATAGTAATTTCTTGGCACTTCAAACTTAAACAAGTGGGATGTTGTCTATGCCCAAGGGCATGCCTAAGAATTTCACACTCTCACTGGCATCCAGGAGTAATGAGAAAGAGCCTTCTCTTGTCCAGTCAGTACAAATGAAAGTGGCTTCACACCTTTAAAATGGAGCTGTAAACACTGACCCTTCAGTCACAAAACTTCAAGCCAGAAACCCCTGAGCTACAGGTGATCCGAGTAGCATGGCTCTTACTACTTCTTTCCATTACTGTTATCACATGGAGGGACCAGAAATGTCTACTGTCCAGTTAGATTGAGGCAGGTAATTAAAAATAACCTCAGCCTCAGTATTTAGAGTGTGTATCTGAAGTGCCAGGCTGACATAGGCTGTCCTGGACTGAAAATAAGCATGCCCAGATAAGTACTTGCTGTTGCTAATAAAGAGACTTGGGGTCCAAGGTCAACTTTAACTTATGAATGAGCTGTACTGGGCTGTTTTACTAGGCACTGTGCAAATACCAGGTCAGGTAGAGCCCCAAAGGGCTGGCTGCTGGCCTAGGTTTGAATGTAGAGTTGTTTTCTTATGAAAAGGAATAATGTGGTCTCCTTCAGTTGTCAGTCCTTAAGCGCTTAGGCTGTGTTCTGGACTCTTACTTGCCCCAGAGTATGTGTGGCAGATGGTCCTCAAATCAAATATACAGAAAGCCCAGTGGCTGGTTCTCCATTTGACAGTAGCAAAGGAGGTGGAAGAGCAGTGATACAGCTGTGAGATACACACAGATATGGAAGGCTTCCTGCTAATTCTGGATTTGGAAAGGAAATGTGGGTCAAGCACCCCTGGTCTCCTTGTTGCAACAGCTTGTTTAGGTGTGACTTCTATTTGCCTTTTTTCTTTCCCTGATCAAGTAGATAAAAAAAAAACCCCAAACAACCCAAAACCAAAACACAGCAACAACCAAATCAACCCATCTTTGTCATTTTAAAATTGCTTGTAGCATCAAAAGGTAGCAGCCATCTCTTGGAAAAAATGTTACCTTACTGAAAACTGGCACATTTCTTCATCAGCTTGGTCTGGGTTTTATCCCCACGTCCTTCCCACCTAGCCTTAGAAGCTTATGTCTGTTTTCTCTCCACTTGCCATTTACAGAATCCTGCTTCTGACTCCTGCTTGCAGGTCACCTTCTTGTTCACGCCCAGTTTTAGCGATGTACATGAACAAGCAGGAGCTGTCCCATGCTGTTGGGCTGCCTGGTGATCAGGTAGTGCCCCACAGGCTTGACTTCAGTGAGAAGCATGCCAGGAGAAGAGGATGGGGAGTGCCTGTGTTTAGCTCTTTCTCTGATAAGACTCTTTTAAAACTGTCAGGGTTCAGTGGCTTCTGGAGGTGATTTGATGTTAATCATTAACTAACTCCTTTATCCTGCTGCAGACTCACAGGAGGATGTTTCTGTGTGCAGGTGGTGTGGAGAAGTGTAAGGCTTTGATCTGGTACTTTCCCTAGCTTCTGTGTGTCTGATGGAGCTCATGCAAGGCAGTATTTGCCTTGTCATTGTGAAGGGTGCAGTTTTCCTGATGGGACACTTGAGATGGGATCATTTAGAGCCAGAGCTCTGTTAGGCAGCTCTAAGCACTCTACTCTCCAGAGCTCCAAGTCCTGACTTGGAGATGTGAAAGCTGAGTCTGCTCTCTACAGATTTCTAGTGCACTCTCTGGATACACAATTGCACAGCGATATGTGCTTGTGTATGAACATTCATGTTTTGGGCAAATTATTTGGATAACAGGTTTGGCGCTGGCCTGAATCCCTGTTTCCACCCTAAGAAGTGCCAGCACATTCTCAGTCTGTGCCAGCATGCTCTCAAGGCTTCTGACAACTCCCCCTTGCTGTGGCTCACCCCTACTGCTGTCCTCAGGCTCTGCTGAGCTACAGGCTAGCCTGTGGGACTTGGGAGACCTCTGTGTAGTGTTTTAGGCTGGTGCTGTTAGATCATGTGCCAACTTCTGCTCAACATCCTGGACAGTTTGCATAGCAGCACAGACATTCAGGGAGGCTGTGACTTGCTGCTGTTGGCCACCAAGCCAGCAATGTCATAGTTGTCACAAGCTACATGTACAGCTTCAGTCTGTGCCCCTGGGCTGTTCTGAAGGCACTGAGTGTCATCCTGGTTTGACTTCCCTGGGGAAGGGCAAACCTCCTCTTGGATGTGGTCTAACACTACCTCTCAGCAAGTGAGCTTGTTGAGATAAGGGTGTTCTTCATCCCTGTGCCCTCTCTCCTTGCCCTCAGGGAAGAAGGCGGTGATGGATTCTAGCCCATTCCTGTCAGAGGCCAATGCAGAAAGGATTGTGAGAACCTTGTGCAAGGTCCGGGGAGCGGCGCTGAAGCTGGGACAGATGTTAAGCATTCAAGGTAAGTGGTAGCATAGGTCCCCAATGGTGCTGCCAGGTGTGACAACTTGTGATACATGGTCAGCTGTCTGCAATCACTCAGTGCCAAGTGAATGTGGAGAGACTAGACATGTGGCTTTTTCTTAAGGACAGAGATGGAGAGATGGTTGATTCAGTTCAGCCTAATCCCAGTATGAAATAACTAGATGTGTCAGGCATATAATAGAAATTGGTTGACAATAAGGTGACACTGTCAATTTAAATGCCTGCGTTGAAGGTAATTGTTGAGAAGCAGAGCACTGTCACACTCTGCGCGGTGTCCTGCTCGAAAGGAGGAGGGTGACAAGAGCATCATCCTGTTCTTTGTTCGCCAAAGGTGGTGAAGGTTGTATCCACAGCCATCCCTTTATGCACCCTGTTTGTGGTTTACATGCTTTGTTGGCACTGAAGCTATGCTGGAAAGGCCACTACAGCTGATAATTGTATCAGGCATAGGTCACTCATTTTCATTTTGAGAAGACTTCAAATTGGTACTTGCTCCATGGGACTCTGAGGTTGGTGAGCACAGGTGAAGGCATGAGTGACATCAGTGTCTGCATGATAACAGGTGTGTTGAATTCAAACCTTATCTGGAACTATGCACTCTGCTTTCCTGCCCAACTTCATAGTGAAGGGAAGAACCAGCTAAAAACAGCTGTTACACTTGTCTGGAAACAGCATTCAAGATGTCAGTGAAACTGAGTCAGTGTCTGAGTGTTTGCAGTACTCTGCTTGCTTGGCTTGTGCTTCTACTTGAATTTTTGTAGCTGTTGACTGATGAGGCTGGATCTAGTGTTGTATTAAATAAGTTGGGCAGGCCAACAAAGCAAGACCAGCTCCCTGTCCTGGAGAGCCCCGATTGTGGCATTCCATCATCCTTCATTTGCTCATTGCTTGGTTTAGGTGCGTGCTTGGCAACATTAACACAGCTCGGTGGGAGGCAGCAGCTGCTGTGTCAAAGGCTGCCACCTATATGCTGTTTTCTTACCCTCTAGAAACTGCCAGGTGCCAAAGGCTGATGGTTCCCAGTGCAGGTCCAAGAGCAGCTCTTGTGCTCCTTGCTTTCTGTGGCCAGTGCCTCTGGTATGCGGGGTGAGCGAGCCATGTCTGGAAACCAGCTCTGAAGTCCACTGCTCTGCCATAGAGGGGGATTAATTTAAAATTCTTAGGACACTACTGAGTTGCACCTGATGTGAGCCCCTGTATGTGGTCATAGCTGCCCTAGGCTTGGATGTGAGTGAGGAGGGAATAGCTGCGAAAGGCCAGCTCTGGGTTTTGTCACTTGCATGTTGTCTCCTAATGTTACTGAGCTCTGGCAGGAGTGTCAGACACTTGCTGATTGACTTCACTTTGGTGTCAGAACCTTTAACAACATCCGTGGTGCTGCCTAGCCCTTGTTTGACTCTTGTGACAAGCACTTGTGGAGCGCAGCAATGCCTGGTGTGAACAGAGGCCTCTGGGAACCTGGCTGAGGGGCAGCAGTAGGGAAACAAGTCAGACACTCCCTGCAGTGTGGAGTACCTGTCCTTGGGCTGGCTGGCTGGACAGGAGGGTTTCATGTTGTCCTGCCACTTGATGGCCTCTCTGTGGCCTGGTGAGTTTGAATTGGCTATATATATGAACAGGCACATGTGCTAACTGAGCACAGAGGGCTCTGTGTTGCCTTGCCCTGGTGCAGCTGAGCTACACCATGCCGAAGTTAAAGCATTATCCATAACACCCTGATGTCTGCTTCGGGGAGTCGGTGCATTTGTTAGGGACCCACATCCCTGGAGGTCAGGCACAGAAAGAATGCCAAGGGCCTCAAATCATCCTGTGTTGTGGTGCGTGTGCTCTGGAAGGAAGGGCAGCTGCATTTGCCTGTTGAGAGTGCCTTGCCTGGACTCTTGTTTCGTGTTTTGTTCCAGTAAGGCCTCCTCAGCTCACCACAAAGACGTATACCCTTATTCATCAGCATGTTGTAAGCCTGGTTTTATCAGTTGCCTCCACAGCATGACTGACTGACTGACTTCTAACGTTGCTGCTGAGTTTCTGTACAGTCACCCTAGACTTGCAGGTTTCTGGCCTATTTGGTGGTGTGCTCGTGAGCAGAGCAGTGGTGGCCAAGCAGCCCCAGCTAAGGATGCCCTCTCAGGTTGAAATACCTGGTGGGTTTTTTGGATGCCAGCAATAAGCAAAATGACAGAAGTTGATCCTGAATGCTTGTGGCAGAGCCTCGTTCTTTGACACAAATGGCTTCTGGGAGCAGGAGTTGCTGTTTGTAAGGTCCATTCTCTTTCTGTGCAGTCATCCTAGGAAGTGCAGGTTATCATGATGATTAATACTTTCCCATACCCCTGAGAATAGTTCTTACGATGCTCAGAGGCTTGGTGGTGATAAATCATCAATAATAGAGCAGAGGTTTCTTTCAGTGTTGGGAGCATGCACACAAATGCAACGTTTAGCTTTCTTGTAGGCTTGTAACAATGGGAGTTTCACTGTTACTGCTCTGACTTGCAGTGACAGAATGGGAGCTCCTCTTAAAAACTGTTGCTTCCACAGTGGGGTTTTGTTAGTACTTTTACTTGCTGCACATGGCTTCAGTGGGGATTTCTAGTGTTGAGTGTTAATGTCCCCTCATTGTATTCTGTATCTTTTTCTTGCCCTACCTTTCTACTCCTCTTCCCAGGACAGTGGTCTTAAGGTAGATATCTGTGTCTTGTTTCCTGAGACAGGAGTAGAGTTGTACATGCATCTGTAAATGCAGAGGGATGGTGGAGTTCTTGTTGAATGTCACAAGCACACGTGCATGTTGAGTTCTCAAGATTAAGGCTGGTAGCCTGGACTTGCCCAATGTTGGGGGAGCAGCAGATACATCCAATTCCTCCATAATCCTTTATGAAATGAAAAGTTTGTTGGAATTGGTGGCCTTTCTCTGAGCTGTTGTAGAAGCCTTTGCTCAAAGGAGAGGACTAATCTTTCAAGATGCCCCTACCCCTCCTCTTTCTTTGGAGTGTAAACATTTGCTTGCTAAATCCTTCTGACTCTTAACATAACCTGCCTTAGCTCAGCTGTGTTCTTCCCAAGTTGCTTTGCATTTGGGTAGTTGTTTACAGTAGCAGATGCTGAATCCTGATTTCTCTAAGAGGTGCATAAGTGGTGTTTTGTCACAGCTTTCTAGAGAAGTTTCTGCCCCCTTAAAAACTCCCATGAAACTGGGAGTGCTGGGATACCTCTCCAGAGGGTTCCTTCTGGGACCCATCTTTCCATGACGTGTTGGCCTTCCCTAGACCTGAATGCTGTGCTGCTGTCAGCGAGATGGGCTGGTGGATGCCAGAGGCTGGTGCAGAGCACTGTGCTCCTGGGTTTTTTGCAACGTGCCATCACACAGAAGCCTCTCTGTTGTGCAGAGCTGCTTTTAGCAGTGCTGGACAAAGCCAGGGAACACTGTGACAAGTGATTGATTGATTGATTCCAAAGCATAGACAGTTTCTCAGCATGCATACTTCACCCCTTCCCTTGGTAATTGGGAGGGGTGCACAATGTTCTGCTGCAGCAGGAGGGTAGCTTTGGAGAAACATGAGAATTATGCAGGTTTTTTGCAAGAATAAGAAGGAAGGAGGAGCTTTTTCCTTTTGTTTTGCTACTTGTGCACAGGACTTGTTTGGCTCATTTCCAGAGGTGTGATGCCTCAAGGTCCTGCTTCTGGGTATGGAGAGTTTCTGAGCTAGAATGACTTGGGGTGTGCTCGGGGCAGGACAATCCGGCCTGTCTGGGTGCAGGCACGTGTTTCGGTGTGCTGAAGAACAACTGGAGAATGCAGTGCCTGCACTGACTGCTGTGTGTGCTTTTCCCTTGGCAGATGATGCCTTCATCAACCCCCATCTCCAGAGGATTTTTGAACGTGTACGTCAGAGTGCTGACTTCATGCCAATAAAGCAGATGATGGTGAGGAATGGTCCTTCCTTCTTACTGGGGAGGAGAATAAATGTCACCTGTGACATACCCTAATAAGGGAGGTGAATGGGTATTTCTAAGAGTATTCTTTCAATACTGTTGCACATTTGTGGGTAACATCTGATTCCTTCTCTCAGTTGTGTTGCATTTTCTCTTCAAAACTTTAAAGCTGAACTCCAGACAGAGGGAAAAATGTGGGGGGTTTATGTCCCAAGACTGTGCTGATGGAACAGGATGTTGCCTACAAATATGATTATAGGGTCTTGTTGAATGTAGCCTCCTCTTGTTTCCTCTTGTTTTTCTCATGAGTGTTAACTCTGTGTCTAGCAGTGCCTGCATCCCATTTTATAAACAGACAAGCATTAGTCTAATAGAAAATTAACAGCAACTTTGTCCTTACCCTTTTGGTTAAATCTAACACACCAGCAAGAAGAGCCAGAATGAAGCAAACTAAGTTTGCTTTTCCCAGCTTACATGTTCTCTCTTTCACTGTTCTTTCCTCTGTAAATTAAGATGTGAAGGGTGATGCAAAAGGAAACGCAAGCACCAACTATCTTCTGAAATACACTGAGCAGAGCCAGGACCCAAATACGGAAGTCTGGCAATGTAGCAAAAAAGCTGTTAAAGCAGGCTGTGATGCTTAATTGTCAGCATTGCCTTAAAGAGAGTCACTTTTGCATGCCTGGATTGCTTCTGTTCAGCTTGGCAGCATGATGGAAGAGGAGAAATAGCTAACTCCTTGCTCATTTTCTGGAAGATAGCGAATGGCACAAAAAGGGGGACTTCTGTACTGCTAAGGCAGGAGTGTTTAGTGCTAGAGATCTCAGTCCTTTAGGCCAGAGCAACAGAGCCTCACACAGATATGATCAGCATCTGTTTAGTGCTGGGGAACGCTGCTGGCTGGACCACTCCTTGTGATGGTGTACAATGCAGGCTGTGAGAGTCACCTCTAGAGTAATGGCATTTCCAACAGCAAAACCCTAAATCGTTGCTTCCCATACCCTGATGTTTTCTTTTTGTTACTAGAAAACTCTGAACAATGATCTTGGTCCCAACTGGAGGGATAAACTGGAGTCCTTTGAGGAACGCCCCTTTGCTGCTGCCTCCATTGGTCAGGTTCACCTGGCACGCTTGAAAAATGGGAAAGAAGTTGCCATGAAAATCCAGGTGGGCTTTACAAGACCAGCCTTTTCTCTTGCCTGTGCCCCATAGGAGGGCAGGAACGCTGCATAAGTAAGGTTACTAGTCAGATAAACATCTTAATGCAAGTGAAAATTTGGGTCCAGCAATATCTTACCTAGTGCAAGCAGAGGGGAAAAACAGAAAAGGTCACTGCAGCATGAGGATATGGTGGTGGGGGACCCCTTGTACTTTCAGGTTTTATCTTACTCTGTACAACCAGGTCATCTAGTCTCAACACTGCTCTCTCCTATTCTGTCCTGCAGTACCCTGGAGTTGCCCAGAGCATCAGCAGTGATGTTAACAACCTGATGACTGTCCTGAGCATGAGCAATATTCTCCCTGAAGGTAAGAAGACAGAGACCCTTGGCAAGCCCTGTGTTCCTGCTGGCATGTGTTGAGTTCTGCCAGCCCGTTTCAAGCAGCACGCTGCTTATTTCTCTCCATAGACTGAAGACAGGAAACAGCCTTAAGGAAACAGTGAAAAGGACTTCAGAATTGCTAAGCCTGCCCAGGAGCAGACCTCCTGCAGGAGGGGTAGTGGCTGTGGGCAGCGTGTGCAAGGCCAGTTTGGGGAGGCATCCTCTGCTCCCCTCCTGCTGCAGAGCTGCTGCCACCTCTGCTGGGCACGTGCCTGCTCCAGTGTTCACTCAGTGGGGTGGGGAGTGGACCTGGGGTGGTTTTTCATGGCTGGGTATAGGCACGCACCTCACATGGTGCCTGGGCAGGGCCATGCAGAGGCTGCTGCAGTCCCAGCCACATCTGGCTCAAAAAGTAGATTGGTTTTCCAGCTCTGAGGTGGAGGAGATTGGACTTGGCAACTCAGGCCCTGGTTATGTGCTGCTGCAGCTCAGTCTTAGTCATGCTGCCTGTTTCTGCCTGGCTGTGCGTACTCCCAGGTGAAGGCAGATACGGTTTGGAGCTTTTTGTGCTCTTGCCCAGTGTGATGTTTGGGTCCTTCCCCTCTTGGTGTGTGTCTCTGCACAGCCATGCCACTACAGGGAGCAGGCAGCTTGGGCTGTGGGGTGGGAGCTGGGGGAGGACAGAGCCCTGCTGCACAGGAGCAGTGTGAATGTACCTTCATTTAGGAGCAGCTGCATAGCCTTGGCCTGGGATTACCCAGAGAACTTGCATCTAGTTGGAAACATGCCTTAGCTCTCTGGGGCCTCTTATACTCTTCAGCTGAGTGTTGGCTGGGTAGCAGTTTGCTCCTCAGCTGCAGCTCTGGAAAGCTTAGCCTGAGGGGGTCCTTTGTTCTAAGCCTACTCTCTTCTCTGCTGTTTGACTTTCAGGTTTGTTCCCTGAGCACTTGATTGAAGTCGTGAGCCGAGAGCTGGCCCTGGAGTGTGACTACCTGAGAGAAGCTGCCTGCGCAAGGAAGTTCCAGTACGTTCACACCATTGCCTTCAACCCCTCCCGTCTGTGTGTGTGTGTGAAATGCAGGGGGGTTACTTAGCTTCAGGGATAGCAGGAAGGTGAATGCCATGTCCTGGGATGTAGCACAGGGGAAGGGTGTGTGTTTGTGGCTTGAGCTGTCCTCTGGAATTACCACCTTGTCTCAGCCAGGCATGTTTTCAGTCAGCTGCAACGTGACAGCATGTCGTGTCTCCTTCAGTGCAAGCCCGGCTGTTTTGCCACATGCGGTGCAGTTACTCCTGAAGCCAGGTTCAGTGCTGTTCTGTGTACTCATGTCAGCCTGTCACAAGCTTCTCCCATCCTTTAGCCTGGGAGGTTTTTCAGTTCAGCTCTTACAGCAGTTACCACCACCAGTACTGCCTGCTCACTGTAGCAGTGGGGTCCAGATTGCTTCTGTATGAAGGCTGGATGAGGGAGAGCTGCCAGAGGCTGGATGCCCTTCCTGTACCTTTGCAGAACTCCTCTTGGAAAAGGCCTGTTTCTTCCATCTATGTAGTAGTCTGGCCCTGAAGTGAAGTGGGGTGAGCAAGAGATTCCAGTGCTCCTTGATACACCAGCTTGGAGCCCTCCTAATACCACTGCTCTGGCAGGAGTTGTGGCCTCAGGAGCTGGCAGCAGCTGTAAGTCACTGGTGTGGTTTCTGCTGACTTGATCCCTACTGCAGCTGCTGAGGAAAACATCTCCTGCAGCCTTTTGCAGGGTGTGGGGAGAGGTGTGAAGGGGCTATGGGCTGTGAGAGGTGTTGCAGAGATCCTGGCTGCTCTCAGGGCTCCTCACCTTTTTATTCCCTTTCCCCTAGGGAGCTGCTGAAAGATGACCCCTTCTTCTACATCCCCAAAGTTGTGGATGAGCTGTGCAGCAAGCATGTCCTGACCACAGAGCTGGTGTCTGGCTTCCCCTTGGATCAAGGCGTAGGGCTGAGCCAGGAGATCCGAAATGAGGTACTGTGGGGTGGTGGTGAGGCTTCTCCCCTGGCTCACAGCAGTGTGCTTGGCCTGCCTGGTGACCGCTAGACCAGGGGATGCTTTGTGGAAGGGCAAACCCTGAGTAGCACAGAGCAGTGCTTGACTTGGGAACTGTCTCAAGCCTCTTGGAAGGATCCTCTTCATGGAGTTGGGCAGTGTGGTGGCATCTTACCAGGCTGGCCTAGGCATTCAGTTGGAGAGGGTGGCTGAAGAGAAGGTAGCCTAGCTGTGTACCTCCTAGATGCCCCATTTCTGACGACCCTAAGTTTGGGAGGGCTTGTCAGCTAGGGGTGAGGAGTCTTGTTTTGCAGCTGCTCTTTGGGCAGCATCATCTTGGTGCAAGCAGTTGGGTGTCATCTCCTCCTGTGGGACTGACCTGTGCTGTGCAGGGCTGCTGGAAAAGTACCTCTCTAAACAGGAGGGGGATGTGGGGATGGGTAGGCGTTGGTGCTGAATATAGCAAGGGACTGGAGGCCTGTGGTGGGACAAGCAGCTGTTCTATTGCAGAAATAACTGTCCTGGTATTTGGGGTTTTTATATTTGTTTTCTTTCTGCCTTGGTGTGAGCTCTCAGCTGTTAGCGGGTCACTGGGGAGGGAGGCAGAGTGGTCTCTAGGTGTGTATCTCTAGAGAGAAACAGATCTCGGCGTCATACTAGACTTGAAGCTCTGCCGGAGCTGCCCGAGACCCCTGAGCTGTCTGTTCCTAGGGCTTGTCCCCTCCAGTGAGCTGCTGTATCATCAGGGCTGCTTTTAAAAGGCTGTGAGGTGGATGTTGCTGCAGGAGGAGCACTTCTTTCCTGTATGTGTCTGGCCTGGCTGACCCACAACCTTCTGACCCAAATGGTGGTGGCCTGTGGCAGGGTCTGGCTTGCATTTGGTGCTCTCCTCCCTCCCTCTTGGATACGATGCTGCAGAAGCTGAAGAGGGGCAGGATGAGGTTGTCAGTTCTGCTGGACAGGCTCTGGTTTAACTCTCCTCACAGCAAAGCTCTGCTGTAGCTTGTCATTCAGTAGAAGACTTGGCTGAGGAGTATGTGGTGGGGGTGTATATCTAGTGAAGACCCCATTCAGTGATGGTTTGGTCCTAGCTCTATACATTGTTTGGCACCTTTACAGGAAGAGACTCTTCTTCAGCTTGTTTTGGCCTTTAACATAAAATGCCCTGGCACCACACCTCATTTCCCAGAGCTTCACTGGCTCTGTTTTGGCTAGTGTTCTGCAGGACTTCCCACCCGGGTAGGCTGTAATGCTCCACTGGCCTCTGCCACCTCTGGTTCTGGATCCCTCTTTGCAATGTAAAGCACTGTTCCTTTGCTCTCAAAGCAAGAACCAAGTGTGCAGTCAGAGCTGGGAAGGCAAAAGGCAGGATGGGGACACAAGTAACACATGCACTGGGTGAGCTGTGCAGCCTTGGTCTCAGCTGCTGGATACAGGGCAGCACAACCAAGGGCTCATTAAGAACTGCAGCTTTGGGTGATGTAAAGCTTGCATGGCATCTGTGCTGTCTGCTAAGGATGTCCCATGGTAGGTGTGGGCTGAGAGTTGCTCCTTCACTTCTTCTGGAGTTTAGCAGCATGGAGCAGGTAGTTCCTGCCAGCGTGGTGATGTGTCCCGTTTGCTAATGCACACTGTGAATTACATGGGTGAGCAGGGCTTGCTGCCCTCCTGACTTGCTGCTTTCTCTTCTTGCTTTTCAAGATCTGTCACAACATCCTGGTCCTGTGTCTGCGGGAGCTGTTTGAGTTCAGGTATATGCAGACTGACCCAAACTGGTCTAACTTCTTCTATGACCCACAGTTGCACAAGGTAAGCCCAAGGAGCTGTTGTTCTGCCTGCACTAGAGCTGATTTTCACTAGCTTTTGGTTATTCCTCACTCCCAAAGTTTAACAAGCCTTGACTGAGATTCTCTGATTCCTGTCCTTGAGCCTTGGGCAGGTAGGACAGTGGAACCTGTCCCTTTGCCACTTGTCCTCACTCAGCCTGGGTAGGAGAGCAGGGCTGCCTGTCTTTGGCCCGAGATCCATGCACAGCTACTTCTGCAGCTTCAGGGTCTGTTTTGAGGCAGGTCAGTGGGAAGCTGCAGCTGGCAGTGCCCTACCAGGGCACACCTGAGCCAAGGACTCTCTAACTGGATGCTCTTGTCTTGAGCTGTGCTGAAGATAAGGGTGGCAAATGCAGATGTCCTGTTTGTGGGTTTGGCTGCTTGCTTGTGCCCTGCAGGTCGGATGGAATTGCTTGTTCATCCCTGAGGTCTGTGCTAAAATGTGCTGGAAAAAGGTTCTGTGCTGCTCTGCCCTCACACAGAGCCTGAGTGGAGTGACCAGCTGAGCAGCAGTGAGTGTTGAGCATAGGCCATACCCTCTGTCCTGTCCAATGTCCAAATGCTTCTGCTGCTGTCAGGGAATAAAGGAGCTGGGGGAAGCTCAGCTGCACTGGAAAGGCTCTTCAGCCACCTGTGCTGAGGACATCAGCAGTCTTAACGTCAGACTCTACTTGAGTGGTTGGAACTGTACTATAGCTGGGTTTGTCCGTTTCCAGGTGGCCCTGCTGGACTTTGGAGCAACTCGAGGGTTTGATGAGAAGTTCACGGATGTCTACATAGAGGTGAGGACTTGCTCTGTGTCCTGGAGTGCTGCACTGGGGCTCTTAAAAGTATTTGCAAACTTATGCTTATCTCTTGGCTGTATCACTTTGCACTTGAGTCCATTTGGGTGTGGAAGGAAGGAAGCGGGGCTGGAGGCAAGAGAGGGATCTCTGTTCATGTTTCATCCCTTACCATAGTCTTCTGCAGGCCTCTGGCTATCTGAGTGAGTCTGGATGTCTGAATTGCGTGGCAAACATGGAGGACTGTCATGTTGCTTACTGGGAAACTCGGGCAGCAAAGCAATCAGAGCACTGAGAGTTCAGTGATTTGTAGATGAGGACTTGCTTGTTCTGATCACTCTCTTCCTGTGATTTCTAGCTTGCTTACAGACTTGATCAATTATGTGAAGTCTCGTGTGCTCCCTTGGTGATCACCATGTTCTGCACTTGATAAATGGAGCTGCGGGGGCCAGGAGCTTCTCACACACTTGGTTCTATCAGTTTGGTGGGGGAGGAGCAGAGGGATTTGTGAGGCTTTTTTGATGCCTCTTATGTTGTCTGGGCTATGTGTAGCCCTGCTGGGAAGAGCTTTGGAGAGCCAGCAGCTCTATCTATTGGCCACTAGCTCTTAAACTGCCCAACATGCCCTGGAGACAAGGGCAAAGTCAAGGAAGCGAGCAGGCAGCATGTGTACCTGTAGCCTATGTAATAGTCCTGTACTCAAAACATGACTCAGGTCATCCCTAGCTCTTCTGAAAGTGTTCCTCTTCTTCAGGTAATCAAGGCAGCTGCTGACATGGACAGAGAGAGGGTACTGAAGAAGTCTATTGAGATGAAATTCCTCACTGGTTATGAAGTCAAGGTATGGAGCCAAAGGGTCTGCTTTTAGTGGTGGCTGCTGCTAAGTTTGCTGTGTGTCTGTGGACTTCCCCAGGTTTCTTGGTGTGGTAAAAGTCAATGTCAGTCTGAAAGCCCTGTTGACAGGATGAGTGAGGAGGGCAAAAAGGCTTTGGCTTTTGTTCTCTGCCTTCCTTTTGGGAGCGGGGGCGGAAGTGATGACACAGCTAGCCCCCAAACCTTGGTCCTTCCTTCTTTCCCCCTGCACGACTGCTGGAATTTCATGACTGGGCAGGTGGTCTTCTGGAAGGTTTAATTGCTCAAAACTGTATTAACCAAATGTTCATCAGTCGTGCTGGGGGCTGGAGGCTACCTGTGTTGTGGCTATAGAGCTAGGTATTTCTCCTGAGCTGCTGCTGTTAGTGCTAGAACTCCTTTTCCTCCCTGGTGGTTGACATGGCTAGTGATGTTATTTATGCCTCTTTCCTTTGGGTAGGAAATGGAAGATGCCCACTTAAATGCTGTCCTCATCCTGGGAGAGGCTTTTGCATCTGAGGAACCTTTTGATTTCGGCAACCAAAGCACCACTGAAAAGATCCATGGTTTAATCCCAGTCATGCTGAAGCATCGGCTTGTCCCTCCGCCAGAGGAGACGTACTCTCTTCATCGGAAGATGGGGGGTTCTTTCCTTATCTGCACCAAACTGAAGGCCAAAATTCCCTGCAAAAACATGTTCCAAGAGGCATATAGCAAATATTGGAGCAGTAGGGGCAAGAAGCCAGAGGAGTAGTGCAATGAATTAACAACTCTTGTTCTGAGGGCACAGTTCACCTGAGCCTTGCAGAGAGCGTTCTAGCCTCCCATGCATTGCACCCCAGCTCTCCATCCTCTTGAGATGCAGCAGCCTGTGCCCTGGAAGCCAAGTGTGCGTTTCAGGAGGACAAAGCTGTTCATTCATGCTGTGTCTGTCCTACGCTGACTGCCAGTACAGTCCACAGGAAACTGTCTTCTTGAGTGCTTCTGTACCGTGTCAAGGCACCAGCCGACGACCTTGGATGCCTTTTTAACGTTGTGATGGTGGCTGCGTATTGGTTGGGTTTTATACTGGGTAGGGGCAGGAGGACAGGAGCAGTATTTACTATTGAAACCTGTTTGTAATTCTCAAAGAAATTGTTTTTTAAAATCTTTCCCCCTTTTGTGCTAAGGTGGAGTTCAAGTAGTTTTCATACCCCAAATTAGAGAATGAAATATTAAGGTGTACCCTACCACAGACACATTCAGCACCTTTCCCCCCACGTTTCTGTAAGTAAATAAGGTGGTGGCAGTCTAGGAACCCTCCTGGATTTTACTGATATTGGTGGGTGTAGGTGTGTGTACATAAGGATAAAGTTTTATGCTTTCTGCCTCCTTGGCTTGCAAGCTAAACCTAGGAAGTATTTTAAATTCTGGGAATTGAGTGCTTTTGTCTTTTAAACGCACACATACACTCACACAACCCATCTCGGTTCTGGGAGTCAGGTATGCTCTCACCAGAGCTGGATCTGAGCACAAAAGGTGGAATTCTTCACTCGCTGGTAGCTCCTGGCTTTCCTGAGGGAGAGTTAGGTAAGCTACACCTCTGACACCAATTGCCTGCTGGACTTCTAACCAAGAACCTGCTCTGTTTCTCTGTTTTCCTGTATTGCAGAACTTAGGGCAAGGCAGACAAACATGTTATGTCTCTCTTGAGCATTTAAACCCAGACGCACAGTTTTAAACTGCTGGAGTCAAGCTAGGACATTTACCTTTGTAGGTTTTTGTACAAAGCCTGTACCTGTACAACTTCCTGGTTTCAATAAACAAGAGCTTGTGCGGTAGGCCTTCTGCCTGCAGTTGTTTTGTCGTCTTCTGGTGAGACAGTGACTGGCCAAGTGAACGGCGTCCTGTCCTCTGGGCTAAACAGGAGCAGAGCAGAAGGACGAGCTTCCAAGTCTTCTCTTGTTGCAGTTGCTGTTTGCTCCAGGAATCTACTACCCTTCTAAAGCCATCTATCTAAAGCTAAACAGTGATGGTGACAAGTTTACCAGGAGCCAGAAGGACATCAGCCTGAACATCTGTCTGGCAATGAGAATCCCTGGTCATGACCACTTTTCCTTATTTCCTTTGTTTTAATCATTCTGTTACCAGTCTCCTGGACACAGGTCTCTGTCTTTCCTCCACTTGTGAAGAAAGCGTGGCTGTTGCAGTTGATGCTTACCTGGTGCTAGTAAGGCAGATGTCCTTACCTGGCACTTGCCAGACATTTAGCAGCAGGCTCAGCTGGTCCTACTCGGTGAACACAGCCCAGGAACACAGAGTTTGTATGATCTTATACTTCAGTACGTAAGAAATCCTGACTGCTGACACTTCCAGAGGTAAAGAACAGGTAAGTGAATAAATGGGTTCTCCTAGGATGGACCTCTTGAGAAAGAAGAAAACAGAGTATTGTGTTACCTTTATTCCAAGCTTATAAATAAGCGAACTGCTTCATTTAAGACTTGGTTGAGAAAGATCCAGTGCTATTTAATTCAACTAGAAGTACTGGTCAGGTTATTCCTTAACCCTTTGAGAAGAGTGAACTCTCTTGTTCAGTGATTGTTTTGCATTAAGCTGTTTAACTTTGTACACTGATAGGGCACTCAGGTTCTGATAGACATTGCTTAGTTTTTCTCCTTTTGGATCTAGACCTTGCAGCTGTAAAAGCAGTGAAATTGTTTAAGATGTTAAATTCCTTTATTAAAAAAAAAAAGCAAAGCATAAAAAGCTGACAAGAGAATTGGATTAGGGGAGCTTCAGAGCACTTGCAAAGAAAGCAAAATAACTTGAAGAGCGTTAGAGTTCACTTTTCCAGCAAGCACACTAGGTGAGATGAGAACGTGCTTGTTCATGTGGCCACAGATCTCTTGCATACCATGCTGGGGCATGAGTGTTTAACTCTCAGCAAACATTTCCCTTCCTTTGAGAGTCATGGAATTGTTTAGGTTGGAAAAGACCTTTAAGATCATCAAATCCAGCTGAGAGAAAGCATGTTTAAGAATAGCATCAAGCTGAAAAGTGGAGTTGTTTTGCATTTGCCTGAAGGATAGCAGCTAGCAGAAGGTAAGATGTTTAGTAGGAAGACAAATCGGAGCTCATGGTTCTGTCCTTTTGTGTATGTTCTAAAAGCATGACCAATTTCTGTAGTTTTGTCCAGAGAGAGTTGTGACATGAGGAACTGCACGTCAGTGTAACAGCCACAGAGAAAAGGTGAGCCAGAAACACTGTGCTCTGGCTTCAAGTCAACGCAGCCATGGCACTTTACAGTGAGCAGCAACACTTGATCAGTGCTGCTTGGTCTTAGCAGCCTACTGCATTTCCTTGAACTGCACATGTAGGTTGAGGGTATGAACATTGCTCTACTGCAGCAAGCTTCTAAGTTCTAGAAAAATCCTCTTGCAGAATAGTGTTCCTTGTTCCACAGGGCAAGCTGGACATTAAATCTGCTTCTCTGAAGAGAGGGATTTTCCATTCTAAAGAATCAAGATTCAGGCTACGTATGTGTGGCAGCAGTGATTTTCCTACCTTCTTTAGCCAGAAAATGAATGCTGAGGAGCTGAACAGGAAGCCTAGCATGCAGCTCACTTTCTGCTTTTCTAATGTCCAATTCCCTTGACAATAGAAGGCCCATTTCCCAAGACCTTCACAGCTGGGATGGTGCAACTGGAACCCTGGGGAATCAGAAATACAGCACTGATTGTGTAAGTCAGAGCACAGGAAACAGATGGTATTTCACAGAGCAGCAGCAGCTAGGAGAGACCTGCAGTGGCCTAAATGCAATGAGCCCATGGGCTTAAATTCACATCAACTGGGGAAGAGGGTGTGTGTGCTGAAAAAGTAGTAATTTTGGCTGAAGGAGGGGGGCATTAGTAACAGCTCAGTCCAGTGTTCCTGCAGCAGGGGTCTGTGTGGGAGGTGAAGCATGTTATCAAAGCTAGGACTTTTGCCACCAGGGTAAAGAATGAAGAGGAACAATGAATGAAGAGGTCCCAACAGTCAGTCTCTAGTATGGAGAAAATCCCAGGCTGAGCATTGGGAGGAAGGGGTGGATGCTGTGAAAGGGTCAGGACACATGCAAAACTTCACATGATGTGTTTTGAGATGATGCACTTAAAGATGCATGAAAGTGAATTTGGTAACTTGAGAATCCAGCATCTAACACTAGGACAACTAAACATTCGATATGTAACTCAATGAAGGAGGAACATCACAATGACTACAAATACTGACACAGAATAAATGACTTCAGAGAAAGGTCAGGAAAAGTGTAGTTGAAGAAGTTCAATATACTAAGACATAACATAATGACTTCACTTTGTTCTCAGCTATTCCTTTTCTTCCCTCTGTGTACTTGTACAGATGTTCCAACATCCTGGTTTTATCTTCAAAAACGCTGTTGTTCCCTTTTCCATTTCCTCCTCCAAGCTTAACATGGAGAGGTAGGGAAAAAAAGACAGAACATGTACATTTCTAACAGTTCCCTGTTTTATTGCAGTACATCAAAGTAGGTTAATATTAAGTGTGTTACCAACATAAAATATTGGTGGCAAGTCATTTTTACATTGTTGACTTTTTCCACCTTAAATATTTCTGTGCAAAAGAATCTACATCATTGTTCTGTAGCAGAGAATCTCTTACAATGTCCCCTACAACATTGAGGGCATTAAACAAAAAAGTGAGAAGAGGCAAAAAGCAGAATCTTTCCCCCACACGCACACTTGTCAGCTTTTATACTCTAAAACAAAAAAGTGATTACATCTATGCCATGCAAAACTGTACAATAATATTACAATGAAAAACCTAAAAAAACCCATATTTTAAAAATAAATGATATGAAACTGTCATACATAAAAAGGCAGGTATAATTGCTCGGAAATACCAACACTGGGTTGGTTGTGGATTTCTTCCCTGTGGATGAGACTTTCTTAAATGCAGAATGAAAATAGGTTGTACTGAGCTGCGGCTGGAATGAAAGACAAAGAGTTGGAATTTAGACTGGGAAGCCTACAGCAGGGCTGTTTCTGGGAGTGTTTATCAAATATAGTGGGTTAGTGCAGAAAGTTGTCCCATTTCCCCTGTGGAAATTACTCCTATTAACACAAAACCCCACAGCAGAAGTTACTATGTGCCACTCTGATTCTCAGCCTAAGGCTCAGGAGGTGGGGGAACTTGCACTGCAATAAATTTTATCCTTAATGTATTCATTTAAAATGAAGCAGCGTGCATAACATGAAAAGCAAACCTTCTTCCACCCAAGAGCATGTTTGTCCTGTCATTCAGGGTCTGGCCATGCAAGACAATACGGTGCCAGAATCTCTTGCTGTGTTACTACTTCAACTGTTGTGTTCCAAAAGGCTGTGAACAAGTTAGGTGCAGTTAAACTACGCTTCTCTAAATACACTATGCTTTTGGGACTGGTTTGGTATGACAAGACCCTTAGCTTCCCTCTGCTGTATACCTGAGAATAGCACACCTGGCTTGTAATTTCATCAGAATCAAATCAAAGAAGTAACATTCCTGACTCAAGTTTGGAAACCCGTTCAAATGGGCAGAATGCACATTCATACCAAGCCACAGCAACTAACTGAGAGGAAAAAGAAGCACCTATTTCACCACAGCCTCAGGAATGTTTGTTTGAAACCACCAGCTGTATTCTACAGGTCAAAGGCAAGAGAGAAGAGTGCTATAACCCTGCTTCTGGGTTTATGAAATGTAGAAGGAAGCCACGTATCTGTGTGCACGCACATGTAGGGGAAAACTATTTACCAACCTTTTTCATTCTATAACCTGGAATCCTTAGTAGCTGCCTGAATCTGTTCAGATCCTTTGTTGCCATCAAAAGAGAAAGAAAACAAGGCAAAAACCCAACAACCCAAATGTTTAAGCAGTGTCAAAAATGCAAATGCCTTCAGTCTCAGCCAAAAGGAAAAAATCAGCTAGATACATACTGTGTACAGAGAACATATGCTACAGTCAAAAACTCAACGGGAGATTTAAAGCTCCCCGAACAAAATGCAGGCCTCTAACTGTGAAGTTGAAGCAACGCTACAGTGCAACGTAGCAAACATCAAACCTTAAGAGACAACTGTCTTCGAGATACCAGTCAAGAGTCTTACAGTTCAAATGACCAAGTTGCTTTTCCTAGCCCAATGAGTATTTAGAAAGCTTAGCTACAGTATGCGTGTGTTTTCAGTGTTCACAGCAACAAAAAGAGAGATGAGTGTGGTTTAAAACTGAGTGGATCATCAAATGGTCCCCAAATATATCAAACTATTTAAGTCCCAGGACATTTTTCTCTTTTCAAATAAGTGATGTGGTCATTTGCTTTTCAACTGAGAGAACAGTTGCTGTTTCTCTTTTGAAGAAATGCGTATAAAACTGCACAGTACCAAACTAATGATTAAATATAGTAATCCTAAAGGAGACTGCCAAGGCTTAGAAACTGTGGTGTACAAAGGGTAGGGCTCTGGAGCTTAGTTTTGTAACACAGCTGACCTCTGCTCTGCCTGAAAATGTCAGGTTTTGATATCAATAGATTGCAGGCACCGTAACAAGAGTAAACATAGGGGTTTACTCAATTATTTGCTGTGTTGTGGCTTTTCAGGTTCCATTTTCAGATAGAGCATGAGCTCAACTGTAAATAAAAAAGATCCTGTGCCCCTCTCTCTGGACTGGCAGGCAGGCTGCTCTATCTTCAGTGACTGCTGTTTCAATGCCTTCTCTCAACATTGAAATAAGATTAATGTATAAATACAACATACAGTAAATACAAAACTAGTCTGCAAAGGCTTTGAAAAGTGTGTGGACATGCTTCACCAAAAGGAGGGAATGGTGGGGAAAAAGCAGTGGCTATACTTGAAGCAAAAGCAATCAGCTTTAAAAAGAAGCTGATATGGAGTTTTAATAATGCCAATACCACCCTGCATATCTGTCCCTCAGAAAGACTGAATACTTCTCTGGGAGGAATGAATTTCAAGTGCTTTAGCTGTTTATAATCCTTTTAATATTAAATGTCAGGCTTGCAAAAGTAGTACCCTTGAAGTGGAAACAAGCAACACAACCAGCTTGCTACTCTGAAAAACCCAAACAGGAGAGAGAGAGAGAGGCTTTTGACATGATGGTTTTAAACAAACTTCTTGAATCCCTGTCCCAAAATAACTTTTAATAAGCTGAAACTTGGACAAGCCTCTTGATTCAAAGTGAAAGAGAAATCTTACCTAGGAGACCCAGCATGATTAAATGGATTAGATAATCTGTGTCTCATTCCCTCTTTCACATTTAGATCATACCTGGAAATTGCTGTACATGGTTTGAACTTACCTAGAGCTTCTATCAGGGAAGACAGAAACTGGAGAACTCCAGACATCTCTATGTGGGTGAAACACTACATACTGCTGACTGCAAGAATATGGAATGGTTTAGTAAGAGCCATAACAAGTTTCCAAAACCCACAAAAACTGGTATTCTAATTACAAAAAGCCCTTATGTGTTTGAGTATGATCATAGTATAAAGCCAGCAACAATACTATGGAGAGGCTTATCTAAACACACACATCTGCCTTGCTAATTAAAGAGACATCTTCCTCTTAACCATCCATTTGTACATCAGTCTCTCACTTTATGCTGTTGACTGCACGACCAGCTTCAGTGGGCTCTGTCTTCCACTGCAATACTTTCTGCCCTCCAACCTGACCTGCTATTGGAACCAAACAGCAGATGAGCACATAGAAACAACTGCCAATTGCACAAACCCACAGCACAGGGGGGGAGGGAGGGAGAGGAAAACCAACGTTGCCAGCATGGCAGTTGTGGGTGACTAGGCATCTTTGACTACCACAGTGTGAACAGTCTGAGGTCAGTCTTCAAGGTTCTTGGTTGCTACAGTGACAGCGTAGCTAGCCAGGGCTAGCTTTGGGCTAAGGGCACTCATTTGGCTGATGTGTGTTAAAAACTAGTATTTGGTAATGCCAGTAACAGTTTTCTGGTTAAGGATGGTCAAGGAGATGTGGAAGACTGCTCCCTTCCAGGTTAAACCTGGCCAAAGGCTGACCCAGGGAAACAAGTCTTCCTGTTGAATCCTGCTGCACTGAACTCCCTTGCTGCCTTAAGGCTCTCTCCTGTAGCATGCTGTAAGGTTCCTCAGCTGCACAGCTAGCACACTAGAAACCAGGGCAGCCACTGGCTGACCAGTGGTCCTGGTTGTTGGGACAGGGGGTTGCTTCCCAATTGTCATTTTTGCAAAGAATGAGGATTAACATGAAAGTAGGAATTACAGCTTCAGTTATGCTACTGCCAGAAGGAAAGAAATGTGAAAGCACTGCAGGGACCTCTCCTACAGTGCAGCGAGTGCTGCGGAAAAGGGATCTCTGTCCTGCAAAAGGTTTTAGGCCAGGCCTCCAAGTCTGTATATTACCAAGCATGAAAACAGGGACAACACAAATCTTAAATTAAAGGCTCTCTTAAATAAGCATCCATCTTCTGCTGCATACACAATGCTTTTTTTTTCTTTGAATATATACATACGTATTTTAATCTAACATCTGCCTATTTATTTAAACTCTGTACTGTAGTAAAATATGCATCATTTTAATCAATAAGGATTTGCTGGCGACAATCAGATTGACATTCAAACGTGGTGGCTGAAAGCTTTTATGTGCCTCTGACATACTGATCATTCCCCATGCAGGGGAAGGGGTCTCTGTGCTACTTTTGTACAGTACAATGAGCTACTGCATGAAAACAAAATCCCTCTGAATTTTCTCTTGTTGATACTGGTCTGGTCTACTTAAGCTACTTTTTGGGAAGTGGAAAGGGGGTGGGATAAATATATCTTTAAAAATGAAGCAGCTGTAACCACAAAAAGGAAACCAATACTAATACAAATCTACAGCATCTGATATTTACCAACACCCTAGCTTTGCTCGTTTGCTGCTGTCAAATCTGGGGAAGGGAGGGTGAGGCAGTGCTGAACGGTGCTGAAGACGACCAGCTTTTACCTTCCTCTGTACCCCACTCCCAGATCACTTTCAGACAGGGAATGGGGAGGGTTAGGATGATGAAGGCGAGAACTGGAACAAGTGAAGGGGACAGCCATGGGGACAGCAAGCTGCTGTGATGTCAAATCTGAATGCTGAAGCAGTTCATGAGTCCCAACTCACGTGGTCAGAGCTCTCCAGGGAGAGGCTCTTGGTCTTGTGAGGAGAAACGGGGCTGGGAGGGCTGCTGAGGTTGGAGCTGTTCGATGCAGTAGAGTGTCTCGGAGAGTCAGAGTCCTGCAGCCCAAAGACACAGAACACCACCAGTAAGTGTCAGGATAGCAAGTTTGAGAGTGACTCAGGGTGTCTGAGCAACACGTGACTGGATTCAACACGTACTTTGCTTGTGTCCAAAAACATTGAGGAATTTTTTTTGCTCAGGATTTCCTGGTCTGGGGAGTCTGAAGAGAAGTGGTCAGATCACTCTGCTTTCAGCAGGCACAACAGAGGGATACGGGACCTGTGGGATTCCTGCACCTGCATGTTGCTGAGGGTCTCTTGGTCAGCAGAGTGCAACTTCAGGTTGCTGGTGAAGCTACAGTGATGGTTCTTGCCTTTTCACAGATTATGATCTGAGATGCTCCTGCACTAAACTGAGAAATCTTTGTGGTATGAGCTTAATCACAGCTACCTCTTCACTGGCACTCCCAGGATATTAATTCAAAGCATCCTATCAAGTTACTCCAGTTAAATCTTCCAGAGTACAGCAGAATGCAGCTATGTCTGAGCTTGAGTTTCAGTTGACAGTTGCCTTCCAGCTTCAACTGGAAGGATATATTTGGTACCATGAAAAGCCTGTGGGATCTGCAGTTTTCTCACTCCTCGGTAAGAAAATGGGCTGGGGAAGTTTTGCTGCCCAACTTGAGACTGACCCCTCCCAAAATATTCTCGGTTGAGGGACTGAGTTTAGCACTAGGCAGGACTGCAGTCCTATCATGATGATAGTCTTGTTCTGCACAGAATATAAACTACTAAATCCAGTTTGTGCTCAAAATTAAAATTATTATAATTAATTCTTAAGTTACTTTGTTAACTTCAGGCACTTTGAGTACAAAACATCTCCAGTGAAATGGTTGCTGAGATAGCTTAAGCGTCTTTGCAAATAAAGGGCAGAAGGAGTATCATCACTTCAAGCTGGGATAGGTCACTATCTGCTGGGCCAGGATTTTTGGAAGCCTCACTACGCACGTGCCTCCAGGTGAGGAATGCAAAGAACATTTTCTGCATGTTAAATACCAGGACCAGAGCTGACACGGTTTGACCAAAGTCTTTTGTCCAGATAGCTCGAAATACAAGAATTCCAAATCTTCATTGTCAACAAGTCCCAACCTTACAGCCAAACCCAGGACAGAATTTAACTTCCCCATCTTCACCAACACACCTAAATTTTCTCCTCTTGTCACTCACCTCTCGCTCATAGTCCCTTGTTGGTGCATCGCTGCCTTGTTCCAGCCCTCCCGAGGATAAGGAACCATCCGAGGGTGATGCCATAGGCTGACGCTTTGCTCCATAGCTACCTCCTGAGAATTCCCTCCGCAGAGCACTGCCGTTTTGTGCAGACGATCCTAGAACATGCAGAGGAATTAAACTGGGTTATGGACACGTGCTCAGTGTACCAGGTATTTGTTAACTCTTTCTCTGGTTAGTTCTGCTTCCCTCCAGCACAGCCCAAGATGTTCAGCTTGTGGCTTGAAGCTTATGTGGGCTTTGTCAACTGCAGTTTTTCGTAGGGACTCTGGTCCTTCCCTTGGCATGTCTGCATTAGCACACTTTACGCAGCACAGACACAGACACTATGTTCCTGACAGAGACACTGCTGTGGTAGCAGCCTAGTTCTAGTGGCCTCTTTCTTAAGGAGTGAGTTGTACCAGCAGGTACAGACTGCAGCAGACACGCGTTCTCTGCAAAGCAGTTGGCAACGTGCAGCAAACACGGCCTGTGGTACAGGGAGGGGGAAAACCCTAGGGGAGTCAGGACACTAGTCCTGCCTCTGTTTTCATGTGTCCATAACACAGTCTCTTGCCCGGTCTCTGCACAAGTCACTGTGCTGACTCTGGCACACACAGGCAGCACGGCAGTGCTAGGAAAGCTGTTTCTAATGCAATGCAACTCTTCTTAGCAGCTGCCAGTTTTCTATTGCTTTCTCTTTGCACCAGCAGCAAGACGGGCCTCGAGAGCTCCAATATGGTTCAGCACCCAAGTTAATAACCAAGGAGCTTGCAAACAACTCGCCCCTGATTTAGAACACTTAAATAGCACCAGCGTAGTCCCAAGGGTAAGACAGTAATTTTAATTCTGATGTATTAAAAAATTGACAAATTACAAATGTGGGACTCTCAAAAGTGCCAGCTGCTTATTCACGTGCTCCTCTGAAAGCAAGACTGAAACACTGTGCTTGCCCTGAACAGGAACACAGCCAGCCATGGCTTCTGAAAATCCCGACTAGTGACAGTATAGACAGAAGCAAATGCAAGTAGCCCTCTCCCTAAAATACTTGTGCACAGACCCCAAAGTGACACGGTTCTGTTTGCTTACGTGCTGCTAACCCACTGCTCGCGCTCATCGATCGTCCTGGTTCCGGGCGGGATTTGGTGATAGATGGGATGCTGACAGAGCCACTGAACACGGTCCGGCTTTCCTGAGGCCGAAGATTCTGCAATGCAGACACACACAACGACACGTTTACTTATTGACTGCTGGCACAAGCTCGGATGTTAAGAAGTAAGGCCCCAAAATCCATGAGAGCCCCAACCTTACCAGAGCTGAATTATCTGGGCAGCAAGTCAGCAAAACTGGCAAAATAACGTTCTGCAGTTTAGTGCAGAGACTGAAGCACACGCAACGCGACAGTGAAGTGCTGAATTACATGGACATATGCACACAACTGGAAGAGTATGCTAATAATTCAAGGGTTTCCTTGAAAGGATGGTGTTGCCAGGCTAATTAAGCTGCTAGAGATGTATTCAAGTTATCTCGCATAATGCATTCTTTCTGATCACAAGCTTCCAAGGATCTTATTAAACTGTCTTTCATCATTTGTGCCACGCATGCGTAACTTTATTTAATAACCATGTTAATCCCTAGTGCCTATGAGTTACAAACACATTAGTGGATCAATCTGTATTTCAATTACTTCTGTAATTCAAAAGGTATTAACAGCATTACTCCAGACCTATACCAGTTGAGCCAAAGTGAGAATCAGCCTCCTGTTTCCAGCCTGCTCAAAGAAGGTGACCAGAGCACCTGCTGCTGGTTTTCTACATGTTTTTCATTACTGCTCCTGTTTTGCATCCCCAGTGTTCCAGTGTGATTTTCTAAACTGGTAAGTTACTGAAGTGGTCTTTTACTGAGGGAAGAGAGAAAACAATTTCTCTACTTGGATACAATAGTTTCCTTAAGTTGTCTTTAAAAGAAGGCAAGGCAGTAGTTGAAGTTCTGGGAGATTTTATCTCTGCTTCTGTTAATTTACAGCTGACAGTAGGGGAAAAGGCTTCTCAGCTTATTCAGCCCATCTCTCTGTATATGAGCTGGCTCCTTAGCCCAGAGACACTTTCTAATGCCCATGCCTATCATTTAATCTCTGGCTAAATATGAGACTTCATCCTGCTCCTAACATGACTTGTGCTATTAACTCACTAGCAGTAACTAGAATTAGGTTTAGGGAACCTTTACAGATGCAGAATGTGAAAAGAACTGCAGGTGGCTCTGAGCATTACTTTATTTCCACTTCGCACTCCTTTCCAACCGTTAATTTCTTCCTACTTCTGTGTAATTATTTCCCCATGCTCACTCTGAGATAAAGTAACCACACATAAAACAACTGTTGGAATTACAATGGCTTTTCAAGCTAGGATGTTATGGAAAATTCAGACCACAACAAAGAGCCCATCTCTCCACGAGGGTATTCTCAGAGTCCCATAGCTACTACCCATTTCTCTATCTGTATTTTAAAATGGATAATTAAATAGAGAATGAACAGATTTTATACTGCAGTGAACAGATTTTATACAGTTCAGATTCACCAGACAGCTGTTACCAACCTGCTGTCAAATCCAGTCTTATGCTGATTCCCTTAGAGTCACTGCTGTAACAGACCCCTTTGCTCTCACAGTCAACCCTTTGCTTCTCATTCTCCCAGTGGGCTAGAAGGGCTGATTTTTAACATGCAACAAACAAGAATTAAAATCTCTTCTCCTGCTCCCAGCTCTCTCTCAAACACCAACAGAAGAGAATCAGAGACCTACCAACGAACAGCCCTGCTTGATTCTCCCCTCATCCACTGCTGCCCTATCCTCAATGAGGACTTACACTTAAAGGTTTAATGACCCTTAAATCATTTGTGGCATTATACTGCTGACTCTTGCTTATTTGATTCTCCCCCTTGACTCATTTATTCTAACAGTGTATTCTAATGATGATCATTTTTCATGTCCTCAGTTTGCAAAGTCCATGTAATTCCTCATAGAAAGTTTCTCCACAAAGCAAATCTTTCATTGTTCTTTGGTCTACAAATGAAATAAGCACATGCCAGCGAGCCTGGCATTTTGGATCAAACCCCCTGGAACTGATAGATGCACGTGATGCAGGGAGGGGATTCAAGTCAAAATAAATGGTGGTTATTTGCGGTAGTTATAAAGCAGCAAAATGCAGCAAGTTAAGAAGAAAGGGGGGAAAAAAAAAAAGAGACCTGAGCTTGCTTTACTTAGAGAGACAAAAACCCCTCATGTAGAGCAACAATTCAAATCCTAGCAGGGAAATTAAACCCCACT